GATTTTTCTATTGAAAACTTTTTAGGTAAATATCTTTTGTGCTACAATTGATTATCAATTGCCAGAATTAAATAGCAGGTTCAATGATAATATTGTTGAATCACTTGCTTTGAGCATAACTTTAGATCCAAGAAATAGGTACAAGTCATTTAATAGTGATGATATTTGCAAACTTGTTGATAAATTTTATTCTAGAGATTTCACAGAACATGAAAAATTGCATTTGAAGATAGAGTTACAACATTTTGAGCTAGACATTCCCAAACATCCAGATTTGTACTCGCTCTGAATTTTGTCAAAGGCTAGTAAGAACTAGAAAGTCTATCATTTATTCTCTTATTGATAGAGTGATTAGACATGTACTCACTCTTCTAGTTTCTACTACAACTACGGAAAGATCTTTCTCAACTATGAAGATAATCAATAACAGACCTCGAAATAGATTTGAAGACTAATTTCTTGATGATATTTTATTACATATATTGAAAAATAACTATTTTGAATTTTAGCATGAATTCAATTATAAATAAATTTAACAATATGAAAACATGTATACTAAGAGTTAAGTGAAGTGATCTTTTGTGTGGGCTCTGCCCCCTTTTCCTTACTAAAAAAAATAGTTAAGTAACTTAATTTCTATAATAAATTTCTTTCAATTTTTTTTATGTTAGATTTATATTGTATTTCAAGTACTTTTATTTATAACAGAGAATTTTTTACGCGCCCGTTATTAAAATTCCTGGCTATACCATAACTTGTGTGTTATGTGTCATTTTATTTTTTATCTTATTTTCTCTATCTCATATTACTGATCCAATTTTATATTTGTTGCTTTGCCCATAATAATCTTTAACTTAAAATCATATGTTGATGAAAATACTAAATTCCATATGAATTGAATGGTCTATATTACCTAATATTAAAATCATGAGATAACAAAAACAAAATTGAGTTTTAGGATACTTAAAGAATTATTAATATAACCCGCATGTATTTATCCAAAAAAAAAATATAACCCGCATGATGCAATGGTCTATATTACCTAATATCAAAATCATGAGATAACAAAAACAAAATTGAATTTTAGGATACTTAAGCAATTATTAATATAACCCGCATGATGCAAGAATTCTCGTGTGAACAAATGAAAATTTTTGGTTATTTAAAAAAATTGTTAATATTTTTTATCAACCTCGTGTTGATTTTACTGTCTGCATACATTGATAGATAAATAAATATTTCAACATCATTAGAATTTTTTTTTTCGACTTGCATCATTACATGGAAAAGATAAATTTTACTTGTATTAAACCACATTTTTAAAGTTTTCTGTAAAAAAAAAAAAAAAAAGGTTATGTTGATGGTACCTGCCACCTGGAAAAGTTTAATTTTTTTTTTTTGTTGACAATTAAAGTTTACACGTCTCAAGTTCCGTTCCGTGATTCCAGGACGGCGTTGCTGCGATATTGTGTGGGGACCACAAACTTGCCCCCCCTGATCGCTTTGCCACCTTGGCACCTTGCATTCATCTTCATATGACACTTTGCTTCTTCCATAGAAAAATGGATTACAAGAAAAGATAAAAAAGGACTAGTATGAAAAATTAATTGACAAATGGAGGTAATGCAACGAACTAAACGTGTACGACCTTGAAAAGTCATTTAATCGACCTGGTCTGTTTCTTGATTATTTTATGAAGACCAACTGGTTCCCATTTTTGTCCTAGTTCAAACACGATCTATCTTCAGTTTCTTAATTATTTAACTTATGAAGACCAGCTGGTTCCAATTTTTGTCCTGGTCCAAACCCGATCTACATTCAGTATCCAAACCGCATATTCCCCCTTTTTTAAGCCAGGCAAAGGAAATTCAAACCGCACGTCGCTAAATTAGAATTGAATGGTGCTACGACTAAAAGGTTGTTTTAGCTTAATTAATTGCTGAAATATAATTGTGTTAAAAATTTGATATATGTAATTTTATTCTAATCGAATTAGATTAGTTGAAGAATCATGATCCAATAAATTATATATAAAAAATTGAAATGATGTAGTTGAAATGAAACTAGCTGTGTTATCCAAAAGAAAGAAAGAAATGAAACAAGACAGTGAGGTGCCAGCCTCTACTAATGTAAATACTAAATGCCCCTTTTTATTTATTAATATATTTATATATATAGCTACATGCCTACAGCCTACAGCCTACATGCCCCTTATTGTTACGAATACATTTGATTGCTTCTACGCCACTTCATTGATTCGCCAATGACGGTGGAGACCGCGTAACGGAATGTTACCTAATGCCCAATGCAGAGGGGAACAATGATTTTCAAAATAATTAATCTATATTACAAACTATTTAAGATCTTGAATTTTTTAAAACTTATCATAATATTTCCCATTTATTAAACAAATTAATAAATTTTGTAAAAAAAAATAGCATAATTATTATATAATAAAATGATTTAATATAATTACTTCTCATATTTTCATTATTCTTCTTTTTTTCTTTCTCTTTCGATTTTCTCTTCTATTCATTTTTTTTTTAAATCCCAACTCTATTTTTTCGTTTGTCAAAAAGTAATGCATCAAAATCCCAATTTGACCATCCATCTATTGGCAGATCTACGAATGAAATAATAATATTAACAACAACTTTTAATTTAAATATGTATGAGTAGATCATAAGTCACTAGTAGCTTCGCGAGCAAATAGTGATCTGCTAACCTAACTGTCTACAGAAGATGGATAACCTGCAGGTAGAATTTTCTCTCTCCCTTAATTATTAGAAAATTCGAACTTCTTAAAATTTAAAAACTTAAAAAAAGTTGTACCGAAAAAAAAAACTAAAAATAAGTTACCAAAATAAATCAATAAATAAGAAAATAGTAGGAGATATTTTTTTTGGTACAAATACTCGTATGCATGGTCATAAATCGAAATTGGGCCGATTTTCATTTTCTCTTTGTGTGTGTGTGTGTGTTAAATTACTCCTTTTTTATTAGATTGATTTTTTGAATTCAGATCTAACTCTAAAAAAGAGCATATGTAGTTATCCTCGAGTCTTAGTTAAGATAAGATTGGGATCAAAATTACACGAGGTCTAAACAAAACATATAAGTATGATATATGATTTAATTAGCAATCTAAATTTTTATTAAATTACCTGATCCGGATAAAATATAGTAGACCCATTAGAGACCCAATAACATACAAGGAAGTTCAATCTCATTAAGGGTTCAGAGTAAAGCGTGATGGTCAACATCGCGCGCATGGCCAGACGCGATGTCCCTATTGCGCGTGGCAAGACGCAATGCCCCCATCGCGCATGAAACCGCCCTTTGATATAAGATCTCAAGAAATAAGGAAGCTAACTTAAGAACCAAGGCAAGCTTACCGCGCCTTTGAACTAATAAATAGAGGACAGTACCAGCTCGCCGTGACTTTATCAAGATAGCTTGATACTAAGGAGATAAGGCTACTTAGGTCCTAGCCTGACCTGCAGCCCAAACATGACCAATCAAAAGTCATACCGCCTTATGAAGGCGACATCATAATTGCTATATAAGCAGGGGGTACACACACCTAGGTACATCTATCTATTTCATTATTCACATACATACTCTTGCCTTTGATACTGACTTAAGCATCAGAGTATCCCATTCGGACTCATCGCGCTAGCAAAAGACAAAGACATACTGATCTTCAACAACAACTCCAAGCTCAAGACAAAAAACACCATTCACATCTCAACACGTGTGTGATTTGGCCGATACATGTTTGGCTATTTAGCCAACCTATACTGTATTTGGTCTGATCAGTACCACCAAAGCGGACTTAATTAAAAAAAAGTTAGAAACAGCTTATTTTTTTTAAAAACATGCACACAAGTAATATTGTTTACTCGAAATATACGTCATAAAACTATGTTTTGTATATTTTTTTACTATTTGATTATAATTAATGCACGTCAAAACTTTACACACAGAATTTAATTTTATAAATATCGTTACGAGCAAACGTGGATGACGTGGCAATTTGAATGTTATCTATCATGGATTCATGCAAAACTCAGGAGAGCTTAATGCTCAGCCCACACCTGATTCCCACCTCAGTTGGCGAATATCCGTTTTGTTTCTGGCACAAATCAACTGTAACCGACGAATATACGTTTCGTTTTTGGCACAAAAGTAACAGTTACGGGGACTTCTCTTTCTTTTATTTTTTTGAAAATCGAAGACTCCTCCTGAGGGGGTCCTAATTGCAACGCACGACCGTTAGGAATGCCGTCACCGTCAACAGTGGGTCTACGTAAACGGTAGACCCAATCAGCATAGTTCCGGACACGATATTTTCGCATCACCAGAATATACGGATAAGAGGTGCTTATTCATGCTGAGTAAGTAAAGTAAAGTAAAGTAAATAAACAACAACTGTATCCCTCTTCCATCGATTCTAAAATTTATTGCACTAATTAAACCAAAATCAATATTAATAATTAAAATTAAAAGCTATGATAATCCACATAAATGATTAGCACGAGAAATATCATTGTTTGATTGAATAACAACTTATTATAATTTTTTGAAAAATCACAATGTTATAAGTAAATTTACTTAATTATTTGGTTACTAGTGTCTTTTAGATTTCAACTATTTCATGTTCAAGTGTTCAACTAGTCGATATGACACGCTACTTACAATAAATATTTTATGTCAAGTGTGAAAGGAAGGGTAAGAATTTTTTTTATTTTATTTTCTCAAGAGGGGAAGTGCGTGAAAGAGCAAACAGAGCGGGAACGCGTTGCGTACTTGTTACATTCTCATCGTCTACATAAGCGCTTTTGCTCGCCGCGCTTTGCAGCAAGCATTTCATTTCACTCTTTCAACTCTTCTTCTACCTCTTTCTCTTTGTGCTTTTGCGATATCTGTGCTTTATATCGAAGATTCGTTTGCTTTGCTTCATTCTTGAACTTAGCTTTATTATCAATTGTCGGTGAGTTTCATTCTTGCTTAGTTTGCTTTCACTAGGGTTCCGTTTCTGTTTGAATCTATATATTATTGTTTCGGTGCTCCTGAATTATTCTCAGTCACACATAGTCACGCATGCAATACAAACATCTCTTTACACGGTTTTTATAAAGGTGCTGTACTGCTTAACTCTGTTTTAGAAACATATTTTTAGCTCTAATTTTTTTTTTATGCATTCGAATAGCTCAGATCTATTGTCGTTTTGGATTTTTCTGCCGTTTTTATGTTTGATATATTCCTTTACTTGTGGTAACTGTTGATGCTCAGGCGTTTCGCTTGTAACGCAAGCGGCTCTGGTAAAAGCGAAATGGCTTCTGAATCGGAAAATGTCGAATGGGTTGGTTGATTGCACCCCCTTTTTCAAATTTCTTCCTTCAAGTAATCGTGTTTTATTATAAAAACGTGTTTTCTTTCTTTACTGTCAGAACGGTATTTCTAAGCTGCAAACGGCGGTGACTGAAATCGAGATGAATGTCGATTTTGTAAGCGTAATTGCAACCGTCCATATTTGTAGGAAAAAAAAAAAAAAAACTGTGTGTCTATATATATATATATTAAGATTTGATTAGATTTAACTTTTGGAATCTGCCATAGTTCTCGCGTCAAATGGTGTGGGATGTAATTTTTATGATATTAATTATAATATTAGTTTTCGGACATTGTTCTTTGCGTAATCTTAGAGAGGCCAAAGGTCAAATGAGATTATACTTGTTTTTTTAAGTAGTTGGGAAATTATGTCCAGAAAAGACAGTGATGGATCTGATGAAAATTATTGTTTATTATTTCAGGCTGCAGATATGTCTCCACCCATTGAGACCCCAAACAAGGTTCTCAACTCTCATCATTCCCAACATCCACCTCTTAATGAGAGGATTATTTCATCCATGACCAGGAGATCTGTTGCTGCACACCCTTGGCATGATCTTGAGATAGGTAAGCAATATCATTTTGAAAAATGGTGACATGTTAATGGTTCGATCACAATGTACTGCTTTTCTGTTTCCTTTTTTCTTAACTCTGTTTAGCATGCTAACTGTGTTTTCCCCACAATGCAGGACCTGAAGCTCCCAAGATCTTCAACTGTGTAAGCATACTGAAAACAACTCATAATGATTTGTAACGTTCCTAAGCATCGTAGAATTACTTAGTTGATGGCTAGCCATGCATTTTCCATGCCTGAATAATATTAGAAGATCATTAAATGTTTTACTGATCGATAGAACAGTGAGCGTATTGCATAATGCTTATTCCATTTCCATTTCAGCTTTATCTAGTTTGGCTGTCTTATTATTAGAAATAGCTCTTATGTAACATGACTGACTTGTTCGAAGGGCCCATTTGGATTATCTGTACGGATTTCTGACTGAATGAGTTGTGCAATTTTACTCTAGTTTTAAGCATGTCCTCCTGCACTTGACAATTTGTTGTCAATTACCACACAAAAAAAAAATGTGTTTCATTTTCCCCCCTCCTTCCGATGGCTGAATCTTGCAGGTGGTAGAAATTGGGAAAGGCAGCAAGGTGAAATATGAACTTGACAAAAAAACTGGACTTATTATGGTAATTATGGTTGCTTAGGTTTTTTACCCTTGGTAACTTGTTGCTATAGCCTATAGGATATTGCTGAACTTGCTTCTATGTGCAGGTTGATCGTGTACTTTACTCTTCAGTTGTGTATCCTCACAACTATGGATTTATTCCACGAACTATTTGTGAGGACAGTGACCCCTTGGACGTCTTGGTTATCATGCAGGTACTTTTGCCTTGCTCATATTGTCAATTTCTACTTGCAAATTAGTGTGCCTTGTGTGATGATTTCCTGTGATTTAAGCATATCTCCACTGCATATTTATGAAAAACTTTTCTCAAATCAGGATTCTGTTGCCAGTTGTTATGACAATTGTGTACTGATTCACTGAGTTTCCAACCAAAACATGCATGCTATGAAAAGTTGTCCAAATTTAGACCACCTATCCTTATTTTGGACCGTATTTTATGTAGTTTTTATAAAGAGGTCAACATTTAAACTAAACTCTGTTAAATGGAGTTTTTATAATTTTCATGATTTTAATGTCTTATAAAGTAATCTTTATCAATTTTAAAATCCAAACCAATATGAGAGCCAATGAAGAGTCTTCTACAACAATTTTGTATTAAATGTTTGGATCATCTTACAATTTTAGATCTTTAGTTTAGTATTGAATCTATTAGATGTCTCCTTTTACGTTTTTTGATGCTTTGTGAGATGCTTAGCCTTACTCATACTGAACAGGAGCCAGTTCTTCCAGGTTGCTTTCTTCGGGCCAAAGCTATTGGACTCATGCCTATGATTGATCAGGTATATCAGACATTCCCTTTTTTTCACATGGCAAGAAAATCTCTTTTGATTATTGATCTAGCACTAATTGTGATGAAGCTCAGGGTGAGAAAGATGACAAGATAATCGCTGTCTGTGCTGATGATCCTGAGTATAGGCATTACAATGATATCAAGGAGCTTCCTCCACATCGTTTAGCTGAAATCCGTCGTTTTTTTGAAGACTGTATCCTTCCAAAAATTTCAAATTCTCTTGCTTGTTCAATATTTTATATTTGTTAGCATCTACAACGATGAAATATTGGTATCTTTTATAGCCAGCATATATATGAAACATTTTATATTTTTCCTTCACAAAGGAATTAGACAAGAAGAATGAGAACAAGGAAGTTGCAGTAAACGACTTTCTTCCTGCCTCAACTGCCTATGAAGCGATCGAGCATTCCATGTAAGCAACAGTTATCTGACTCATGCACACTAAACCATTTGTTTTCCATTTAATAATGCTTAATCTTCAATTTGGATTGACTGATTGGTTTGGAAGTTATGACTGATTTCAATTCGCCCAATTTTGATATAATTTCCTATACTTTGTGTGAAGAGGCATGTTACAATTACAATCTTTTTGTTTACAACTTTAATTATGTATTCCGGGAAGTACACATAAGTAAATGTATTCCCTGGAACATAAAGTTGAGTTTGTAAACAAAAAAAATTGTAAATATAACATTTCCCTTATATGTGAAATAGTAGTTTTTTTGTAATTAATTAAAATGTTAGTTTTTAAAATATTTTAAGAATTCATTTTTAATACTCCTCTTTTTATGCATGCGCTAGGATGATTTAGAGTGTAATAACCTTTGTCCTTTGTTGTGAAGGTCCTTGTATGCGGACTACATCGTTGAAAGCTTGAGGCGGTAGTATTGATGCATGGGATTTTGTCTGGTCGTGAAGACATGTTTTGAAAGGCTGCCGTTTTATAATTACGATTGTGACGAAAAAAAGGCTTTGTAATCCTATCGCATGTACATTGGTTCCAGAACTGACAACACATGCATATTCTACACATTTGTGCTTAATTTTGAGTGTTGAACGATACTTTCATTTACTAATATCAAAGTCAGTTTTATATTCTTCTTGCCTTACTAATCTAGTGCATTTTTATTACGATTGTTCACTACTGTGTTTTCTGTGCTCGTGGTCATTGTTGAGGCGGAAAATTGCACTGAAACATGATGAAATTTTTTTAGTTGCTTATCATGTAAAATGTGTAAATATTATGCGGTAAGCTAACATTTGACAACGCAATATTATTCTCCCTCACCCAAAATTGGAGTCTCGTAAATTTGGAGACGCAACGTGTACATATCATGATCATCAAACTTAGATGAAAAATTTATGCATTAACAGCCAATAGCATGCCTACAGAAGATCCATTAATTAAATTATAACACGTTGTATATCATTGATTGTTTCTATTTCATAATGTAATAAAATAAATAGAAATTTTAAATTATGAAATATTATTTTGATTATTATTTTTTAATTCTTGATAGTTGTTTGATAAATTTAAATGGATTAACAAATTCGGCATTTTTAAAAATAAACAAATTAAACACAAAATATTTTACATAAGTCATCTATTTAGACCAACCTAGTATGACTTATACCTTATTTATACTCTTCGACTTCCAAGCAATGTTTTAAAACTCGGTTAAATATATTATAAAGTGTATTTTTATCAACAATTGAGGATAGCTTTGTAATAAATGGTAATATTGCTCACTTCCATAAAGATTGAAGGAGATATAGAAGATATCATGAAGAAAGTGAAAAACATGTGATCAATATTATTGGAGGAGATATGGAAGATATCATGAAGAGAGAGAAAAACATGGAATCAAATAAAGATTAGGATAGATTTTGGGTCTGTTTGATTGTATTCTGGTTTTTTTGTTCTTAAAACAGTTTTGTAGAATAGTAATTGAAACAGTTGTTTTCTATGGTTTTTTTGTTTTGAAAGTTAAAAATCAAAACAGAAAACAAAAACAACCCAGTTCTCTAAATTTGATTTTAAAAACAAAAAACAGTTACAATTTTTTAATTTTTTTTTACAAAACAGACCTTACCAAACGAGATTTTTTGTTCTGAAAATTAAAAAACTGTTTTTGAAAACAGTTATCTAACACTGTTTGAATACTGTTTTCAAAAACAGTTTTTTAGTTTTTAGAACAAAAAAACTCGTTTGGTAAGGTCTGTTTTGTAAAAAAGTTTTTAAAACTGTAACTGTTTTTTTGTTTTTAGAATCAGATTTAGAGAACATGTCTGAGTTGTTTTTCTTTTCTGTTTTGATTTTTTACTTTCAAAATAAAGAAAACATAGAAAACAATTGTTTCCATAATTATTCTACAAAACAGTTTTAAGAACAAAAAAACCAAAACACAATCAAACAGACCATTTTTATGAAAGCCTTTCATTTGCTTCTCTTCGATGGAAGTTTTATTTTCCCAGAATGTATCCTCATTTTTGGCCTAATTCTTCTTCTGATGATCGATTCAACCTCTGATCAAAAAGAGAAATCTTGGTTCTATTTTATCTCTTCAACAAATTTAGTAATGAGCATAGTGGCCCTATTGTTCCGATGGAGAGAAGAACCTATGATTAGCTTTTCGGAAAATTTCCAAACGAACAATTTCAACGAAATCTTTCAATTTCTTATTGTACTATGTTCAACTCTATGTATTCCTCTATCCGTAGAGTACATTGAATGTACAGAAATGGCTATAACATAGTTTATGTTATTTGTATTAACAGCTACTCTAGGATGAATGTTTTTATGCGGCGCTAACGATTTAATAACCATCTTTGTAGCTCCAGAATGTTTCAGTTTATGCTCCTATCTACTATCTGGATATACCAAGAAAGATGTACGGTCTAATGAGGCTACTACGAAATATTTACTCATGGGTGGGACAAGCTCTTCTATTCTGGTTCATGGATTAACGTAATATGGACTCGATTAAGAGGGTCAGTCATCTTAAAATTGAAACTCATTTCTTGTCGCAAATATTCACTTGTAGCATACCATATCTCAATCGATTGACGTAATTTTTCTACCGCATATACATTTCCATAACGATGATGTTTTTCTAAAATGAAACGCTGTTTTTCAGCATCTTGGACTAGCCATCCCTTAGAGGGTACTGTTAAAAGGTCATCAATTCCTAACAGTAGCTTGACGAAACCCCAGAGTTTTTACTTGATCTAGGATGTGTGACGTATATGCCATTCCAAAGTGATCTATTAATCTACTAATAAGCCGTTTAATGGCAGTTCCACCTATCACTCTATTGTGAAAGACTAAATTTGCCCGTTCTGCCATAAGTACCTCCTTATTCTGACTCAGTGGGGTTGGTGATTTAGTGGCAGTAGGCAGCAAAGTTGCTTTGTTACCTATTCCATTAGGAACTGCGAATTTTTTGGTCCATCATATTCATGCATTTACAATTCATGGGACAGTATTGATACTACTAAAAGGTGTTCTATTTTCTCGTAGCTCGCGATTGATACCGGATAAAGCAAATCTTGGTTTTCGTTTCCCTTGTGATGGACCCGGAAGAGGGGGGACATGCCAAGTCTCCGCTTGGGATCATGTCTTCCTAGGGCTATTCTGGATGTACAATGCTATTTCGGTAGTAATATTCCATTTCAGTTGGAAAATGCAGTCAGATGTTTGGGGTAGTATAAGCGATCAAGGGGTAGTAACTCATATTACAGGGGAAAAATTTGCACAGAGTTCCATTACTATTAATGGGTGGCTCCGCGATTTCTTATGGGCACAAGCATCCAAAGTAATTCAGTCTTATGGTTCTTCATTATCTGCATATGGTCTTTTTTTCTTGGGTGCTCATTTTGTATGGGCTTTTAGTTTAATGTTTTTATTCAGCGGGCGTAGTTATTGGCAAGAACTTATCGAATCCATTGTTTAGGCTCATAATAAATTAAAAGTTGCTCGTGTTACTTAGCCTCGAGCCTTGAGCATTACACAGGGACTTGCTGTAGGAGTAACCCATATCTTTTAAATTTTATGTAAAAAAAAATAAAATACTTTTTGCCGAAGGCCCGGTCCAATTTCACCTCTATATATTTTTCTACTTTCTTCGCTTCATCACACATAGCATTCTTTTTTGAACACTCGCGGGAACGCACTTTTTCGCCTGATCAACAGAAGAATCTCGAAGTTCATCCATGGCTCCAAGACCGGCGGAGAAGAAACCGGCGGAGAAAAAGCCAAAGGCGAAGAAGAAGATCTCTAAGGATGGTGGCAGCGATAAGAAGAAGAAGCGCGTGAAGAAGAGCGTTGAGGCTCACAAGATTTACTTCTTCAAGGCGCTGAAGCAGGTTCACCCTGGCATCGGCATTTCCGGCAAGGCCATGGGGATCATGAACAGCTTCATCAACGATATCTTCGAGAAGCTCGCACAGGAGGCATCGCGTTCGGCTCGCTACAACAAGAAGCCAACGATCACATCGAGGGAGATCAGGACGGCGGTGCCATTGGTGCTTCCCGGTGAATTGGCTAAACACGCCGTTTCTGAGGGAACCAAGGCCGTTGCCAAATTCACCGAATCTTATTTTTCGAATTTGATGGTTGATTTATTGCATATCTCTGAGATCTAGGGTTTGTGTGAATTTAGGATGTAGATGTAGTGTTCTGAACAGTTTGTTAATGGATGCTTTTCTTTTTTATAATCGTGTGATTGTGATTATGTTTGTTTTTATTTTTGCGTATTTTGGCGATGGAGGCTTCAATCTCACCTAATAACACCGAAATAAGAGCAAACTTACTCTTAAACTTCAATCGTTTATTTTATGGGTTTTATAAGAGTTATGTTGTAGGAAAAGTGACTGTGTAATGTTATAGAGATTCGTTTTGCGTGCCTTAATTTTTTATTTATTTTTTTGTTTTAAAAAGTGTGGGCCCCACAAAATATTGTGAGTGTAAGAAAGTTTGTTGTGTTGGCTACTTCATGTATTGTTACTTCACGTATTGTTATAGTTGACATTACCACCGTTGCAACAACAATTGAGGATAGCTTTGTAGTAAGTGATAATATTGCTCACTTCCATAGGCTGGGTTCAATTCTCATCCATTATCAAAAATGAAGTATTTTGTCCTAAATTTATATTAAATTGTGACTTTAATTTTTCCACAGTGAATGTAGATAAGTTATCTATATTCACTCCCAAAACGACGGCGTTTTGAGTTGAAAAAATAAAAAATTATAATGAAAAAGATTATTATAACCCTAAAATAAATTATAATTACAAAAATACCTTGATTTTCGCTTTAAAACGACGTCGTTTTGAGCTCAATGTAAATAAGTTATTTACATTGATAGTGGAAAAAGCTCCCATAAATTTTATATAATAAATATATTATAAGTGTCATTTTGACCAACAATTAAGAATAGCCTAGTATTAGATTACCAAAAAAAAAAGAATAGCTTAGTATTAAGTGGTAACAAGACTTACTTCCATAGGCTTGGTTTAATAATATTTTGTCCAATTTTTAAAAAATCGATTTAAGGGAGAAAATAACTTGACCCGCTGAATTCCATTTGACTCGCGAGTCATCGAAACTTGGACGAAACAAGCGGTCGAAATCGATTCAACTACATGACCAATTCAATGGCCAGCCCGAACCAATGCCCTCATCAGATTACTAGAACCTTGATCGACCTGGGCATTTGAGTGGTCTAACATAGACGGCTTGCAAAAAATTTACACGAGATAATATATTCAAATTTTATTGTTACCGTTGTATAAAAAAAAGTCCACATCAAGCTTCCTATTTTTAGTTTATTCCCTAAACCATTAGTTTTATTTTTTATTTTTATCTTAATGATTTGAAACAAAAAGAAGACCTATTCTTCAGAGAGAATCAATATACAAACCCTCACAAAAAAAAAAACTGCAGCTTTCAACCTCAAAAAAGATTAACTAAAGAAACAATGGCAATTTCCTTTTTCTTTTTTAGGTGCATTTGGAATTCAAGCTCAAATCAGGGAGGAGAGACACCCACTTGTTATTAAGTGACCACCACATGGCATAAACAATTACAATTTATGTTTTTCAGGAGAAGAACTGAATGGTAAGGATGTGCCATCTTTGTTAAACAATTCCAAAGCAGACTCCGGCTTCTCTAGTCTCTATCCGACCATAGTTGTTATTGCTAAAATAGTGTTAATAAAGCTGATTTGTGAAATTGATTCAGCTGGAAAATACAAGGAAGGTGATGATCATGAAGAAGTTCATAAATTAGGTGAATGGTGATGAAGGCGAAAGCCATTGGCCACATTGTGGAAGCATTATATTATGGCTATAAGATGCAGCCTTAAATGCTTTTCTCTTTTGCCTGTTGGAGATGAAGAAAAAGGATTGGCTAAATTAAAAGTCAAATGAAATTATAGAAGAGTGCCTATTTTAGAAGACTTGCATAGCAGAGGTAAATGTCAGGCAGCAAAAGAACTTAATAATCATTTGCAGCTTTTTCATTGAGAATAATGTGAGACTCGTGTCGGCATTCTTTAACACTTCTTTTAAGAGCCAAAAATAAAATAAAAATCAAAGCCTTACGGGCGTTTGGTATAGGAGTAATTTTTTAATATCTGGGTATCACGATTACTGAGAATATGGTTGAAAAAAATGTGACCGGGAATAATACAAAAAAAATGTTTGGTAGATCAAAATATTATCGGAAATATTTTTTAATTTTATTGAATTAGTGTTTGGTTGATGATAAAATATTACTGAGAAAATAGGTTACTTTTACGAAACTACCCTCTCTCTTATAATAGATAACTTTTTTTTTGGAAATATTCCATGGGTTCATCGCTTCGCGATTAGTCCGATTCGGGGCGGGTCCAGGATTAAGGCTTTAAACCCCTCCCAAAGGTGGTACTGGAGAGATTCGAACACATGTCCTCACCCCCACCTGCTCAGCTCCCATGCGCCAACTGAGCTACCACCGTTTGGTAGCTACCACCATTTGGTTCATAATAGATAACTTTAAACATGATTTAGAAACAGAAATCATAGAATATCAATTAACGAATTCCCCTCCTCACTGAAAGAAGTTTCTAAACTCGCTACTTCCCAAGTGATCTAAATTGCAGCGGCAGCCGGATCGTCGAACAAGAAACCAGAACAAAAAAACTAATAGAAACAGAAATCATAAAACAGCAGTGCCAAAAGATGTATACAAGGGTATTTTTGTCTTTAAAATATGTAAATGGATACCCAATAGGTAGGTATAAAAAGTTACCATGTCCAATTAGGCATTTATTTTGGCTTGTTGGTAGTGTAAAATTAAAACCTGGTGATAAAATATACAAGGCAAAATTTATGTTTTCCTTGTATCAAATATGGGTATAAAAAATTTCCACTATCAAATTCCTAGATATCCCTTTAAGTTTCATGTACCAAACAGCCTCTCAATGCTAGATAGCAGCAAAACAAAATTGAAGGTTTTGATCCATCCCAGAGTTGCCCATGATTTGCAGACAGGCCAACGTGGTAAGGAGCCCATTGAATAAAAAATGATTAAAAAAAAACGAATGATTGAAAGTTGAAACATGTGCGAATTGAGCTCCTAGTCAGTAGTAACTAAGCGGCGTTTGGTAAATGAAATTTTTTTTTTTTACTAAAAAATATAATTACTAAGAATATTATTTTGGTAAGAAAATTTAAAAAAAATTGGTTGGTAGGCTGAGATATTATTGGGAAAATTAGATTAAGTTTACTGAGTCTATGTTTGGTTGAAAATAGAATATTGATGGGAAAATGGGTTGAAAATACGAAAATAACTATTTTATAATTTATTCTCAATTTGTCTTCACTTTTATTCTGCTTCCTACCATGACTGTGTTCTCCTACAAGTTCAGATACTTCATTGATCTGATTGTCTGCATTACAATCGTTTTCAACCTCTTCATTTATGTTCTCCTTAGTTGTTTCACCAATAACATATTTCTCGTCCTCCATCGCAACTCCATTTTCAGATTCCATTGTGCTATAAATAGTTGCAAATCATAAAGTGAGTTTATCAGTTGTAAAAGAAAAATTAATTTTTTTCGGTTTGGTTTCTGAAACAAAAAACTAATTTCCCCATCAATTCAAGAAAACCACCCGTGGTATTCTTCCATGAAATTTTCATCCAAAAATTACACAATTAAAGGATTTCAGGGGATTTAGCTTTCCTAGGAAAATTTTATCAATTGAGGTACCAAACATGAGATTGATAGATGCCCACTTTCACTTCCCCAGCATTCTGAAAATATGCCTCCTTCCAAACACCACCTAAACTCTGAATCCGCAACTATTCGGTGCTGAAAACTTATAATGCACCGACACTGACACGGGACACGATATGACACGTCGACACGTTAATTCTAAAAAATGTCATATTTCAACACGTTGGGAAACGTTTTGATATTAAATAATATTTTTAATATATATAATCTAATTTACATTTAATACATATAACAGACCATAATAAGTCATATAAACAATCAAATATTCAAATTTCATAACATAAATATAAAAAAATAAAATCTGTACCTTGTTAATTTTTCATGTCAAATTTCATAGTAGAAAAAACTGATTTATAAATTATTTTTTTATGTTTAGTTAATAAAATAAAATAGGATACCAATAAATAAATAAATAAAATTTGGACAAAAAAAAAACGTGTCAGAACATTGAATGTGTGTTAGAAAAAGTTGACCGCGTGTCCCAAAATGTTGACCGCGTGTCGGAACGTGTCGGTGTCCGACACGCATAAATTTAAAAAAAGTGTGTGTCCGTGCTTGTTAGCTGAAAACTAAAAACGATAAGGTGATATCAATCTCAGTCGTTAATAAACCAGATATCAATCAACGAATGATAAGTCATACACGTCATCGATCCGGGTGAAAGACTATCTTCCAACCAAAATCCATCTCTTATCACTAGGGGTGAAAGTAGGCTGAACAGGGCCAATCTTTGCTCCAAAAAGCCCAAGCATACTTCAAAAGTTTTCAATTTGGCCTAGCCCAAGCCTAGTACGAGTCTAACTGTTAGTCTGACTTGGCCCGTTTATAGAAAAACAAATGGTCTGGCCCGTTTATAAAAAACAAATGGCCTGACGTAGCCCGTTAGCCTATTAATTTTTAAATTTCAAGCAGAACCATGAATCAACTTTACAAAATACTCAAATTTTGTTGCTATATCAAAAATTATAATTTCAACGTCCAAACAAAATCATAAATCACAATAAAACTCATACAATCTGCATTTAAGTTAATTTGAAAAGCAAAATGCTCAAACTAAATAACATATATTTCATCAGATCCAACAAACAAATCCATACTATGTAAATTAAAATAACAACATGAATCTAACAAACAGATCATAATGTTTGTAATAAGTATAACATCTTCCAAAAATCTTTTAATATATTTATATACACAATCTAACATGCTGAGATGTTGGTTCCTCCTACATAAGAAATAAAGTTAGATTTCTATTAAAATATAATCGAATATAATTAAGTTATAAATAATTGCAATTGATTAAATTTATATCTTTTATTTTTTCTTCAAGTTATATTTATTCTATTTTATTTTATTTAAAATAAATAGTACACTATAGACAAGTCTGTATACATATAGGTCAGGCTTTGAAAAAGTGAGCCTACGTCCTTTATATTAGACGAACTTTTTTGAGATCCAAGCCCAATCTATTTTACAAAATATAGTAAGTCTTGCGTTTCACCTCTACTTATCACTATATATTTTTCTACTTTCTTGGCTTCATCACACATCGCATTCTTTCTTTTAACACTCGCTTGCGCGAAGCGCACTTTTTCGCCTGATCAACAGAAGAATCTCGAAGTTCATCCATGGATCCAGGAAAGGCAGAGAAGAAACCGGCAGAGAAAAACCCGAAGGCCGAGAAGAAGATCTCGAAGGAAGGTGGCAGCGACAAGAAGAAGAAGCGCGTGAAGAAGAGCGTTGAGACTTACAATGATTACATCTTGGAGGTGCTGAAGCAGGTTCGCCCTGACATGGGCATTTCCCCCGAGGCCATGGGGATCATGAACAGCTTCATCAACGATATCTTGGAAAAGTTCGCTCAGGAGGCATCGCGTTCGGCTCGCTACAACAAGAAGCCAACCATGACATTGAGGGAGATCCATACGGCGGTGCCATTGTTGCTTCCCGGTAAATTGGCTAAACACGCCGTTTATGAGGGAACCAAGGCCGTTAACGAATACACCGTCTCTTATATTACGAATTTGATGGATGATTTATTGCATTTATGAGATCTAGGTTTTGTGTGAAATTTAGGATATAGATGTAGTGTTCCGAACGAATAAATCTTTACTGTGCACCAAAGATTCAGTACATTCCCGGTAAAGTTATTTTTTTTCTGCCAAATTTTTATGCTCCCATGAGTGGAATGCACTGAATCTTGTGATACAGTTGCACTAAAGATTTATTCGTTCGTTCTGAACAGTTTGTTGATGGATGGTTTTTTTTTTTTTTGTAAGTGTGAATTCAAAACGACATAGGGAAATACTTTCTCCCTTTTTTTATAATCGTGTGATTGTGATTATTATGTTTCTTTTATTTTTGCGTATTTTGGCGATGGAGGCTTCAATCTCTCCTAATAACACCGAAATAAGAGCAAACTTAATCTTACACTTCAATCGTTTATTTTATTTACATAATTATTAAAAATGAGTGTTTCGATCAATTTCCCTAGCACTTTCGTTTCAAGTGACATAACACAACTGAATCTTTGTATAATCTTAAATTTTAAATTGGCCCTTCCCTAATAAAACGGGAAAACACTTCCTCCTAACCCAGAAACGAAGTATATATGCTTATATCAGATAAATTTTTGGTTAATGTATGTTTCAGCAATCTTATTTTAATTATGATTACTTATTTTTTTTTATATCTCCATACTGGTAGGTCGCAATAATATTTTTCGAAGAATGCCTAATGGCACCTAGTCATGATGTCATCCTTAGCTGAAAACCTTTCGAGACGGCGCTTTTATCAATTTCAATACCAGTGTTATGGGGCTTTTTTATCTTTTTGTCTTTCATTAATTAATTAATAACTATTTTATCTCTTAAGACTCTAATCGTCAAATTTTTGAATACTACGAAGTTGTGATTCCATTGTTTAAAATTCAAATTGAATACCAACGGATTTGGGCGAATTCTAAAATAATTCTTTAAAATCCTATTCGAATATCACGTGTCTTTCGAGATGGCGCTTTTATCAGTTTCAATCCTAATGCTCCTCTTTAATTGATTAACTTCAAGATTTAATCGATTAAATGATCAAAACTGGCAAAAATGGTTGACTTGAAGATTTAATCGATTAAATATTTCTCTTAATCGATTAAATATCTCTCTTAATAGATTTAATCAATTAAAACTTATATTTAATCGATTAAATAACCCAAATGAGCGTGAAAGCATTGATTGAATGAGACAAACACGGTATTGGAGGTTATTTGAATTTTGAATTTTGAATTTATTGCAATAGGAGTTGATTGCGATTTGTATTTAATAGGAGCTGATTACATTTTGTATTTAATAGGAGCTGATTACATTTTGTATTTAATAGGAGCTGATTGTTTTTTGTATTTAATAGGAGTTGATTGTGTTTTGTATTTAATAGGAGCTGATTGCGTTTTATTAGGAGTTGCTAATTTACGAGTTTGTCCTATTAAATACAAATCGCAATCAACTCCTATTATATTAAATTCAAAATTCAAAATTCAAATAACCTCCCATACACGAAAAATAAAAACTGAACAAAAACTGATCGAAGATTTTGCTAAATAATATTATGATGAATATGCAAGACGGGAAGGTTCATTGTTCTCCTTGATCGCTGTCATCGTTCCAAGGTTGACAATAGGATCATATGCATGGAATCTGCTTTTGTTTATGGAAGAGATTTGACATTTGTTGCCTGTTGGAAGATTTAATCGATTAACTTAAAAATTTAATCAATTAAATCTTCAAGTCAACCATTTTTGCCAGTTTTGACCATTTAATCGATTAAATCTTCAAGTAAATCGATTAAATAGGGGCAGATTGGTAGATAATTTTGAATAAGGGACAAAATGATTATTAATTAATTAATGAAAGCTAAAAGGGTCAAAAAGCCAATGTTATTGCTACTTCATGTATTGTTACTTTTTTTTTTTTGTAAATTCATGTATTGTTACTTCACGTATTGTTATAGTTGACATTACCACCATTGCAACAACAATTGAGGATAGCTTTGTAGTAAGTGATAATATTGCTCACTTCCATAGGCTCGGTTCAATTCTCATCCATTATAAAAAATGAAGTATTTTGTCCTAAATTTATATTAAATTGTGACTTTAATTTTTCTACAATGAATGTAGATAAGTTATCTATATTCGCTCCCAAAACGACGTCGTTTTGAGTTGAAAAAATAAAAAATTATAATGAAAAAGATTATTATAACCCTAAAATAAATTATAATTACAAAAATACCTTGATTTTCGCTTTAAAACGACGTCGTTTTGAGCTCAATGTAAATAAGTTATTTACATTGACAGTAGAAAAAGCTCCCATAAATTATATAATAAATATATTAGAAGTGTCATTTTGACCAACAATTAAGAATAGCCTAGTATTAGATTACCAAAAAAAAAAAAGAATAGCCTAGTATTAAGTGGTAACAAGACTTACTTCCATAGGCTTGGTTTAATAATATTTTGTCCAATTTTTAAAAAACCGATTTAAGGGAGAAAATAACTTGACCCGCCGGATTCCATTTGACTCGCGAGTCATCGAAACTTGGACGAAACAAGCGGTCGAAATCGATTCAACTACATGACCAATTCAATGGCCAGCTCGAACCAATGCCCTCATCAGATTACTAGAACCTTGATCGACCCGGACATTTGAGTGGTCTAACATAGACGGCTTGCAAAAAATTTACACGAGGTAATATATTCAAATTTTATTGTTACCGTTCTATAAAAAAAAAGCCCACATCAAGCTTCCTATTTTTAGTTTATTCCCTAAACCATTAGTTTTATTTTTTATTTTTATCTTAATGATTTGAAACAAAAAAAAGACCTATTCTTCAGAGAGAATCAATATACAAACCCTCACAAGAAAAAAAACTGCAGCTTTCAACCTCAAAAAAGATTAACTAAAGAAACAATGGCAATTTCCTTTTTCTTTTTTAGGTGCATTTGGAATTCAAGCTCAAATCAGGGAGGAGAGACACCCACTTGTTATTAAGTGACCACCACATGGCATAAACAATTACAATTTATGTTTTTCAGGAGAAGAACTGAATGGTAAGGATGTGCCATCTTTGTTAAACAATTCCAAAGCAGACTCCGGCTTCTCTAGTCTCTATCCGACCATAGTTGTTATTGCTAAAATAGTGTTAATAAAGCTGATTTGTGAAATTGATTCAGCTGGAAAATACAAGGAAGGTGATGATCATGAAGAAGTTCATAAATTAGGTGAATGGTGATGAAGGCGAAAGCCATTGGCCACATTGTGGAAGCATTATATTATGGCTATAAGATGCAGCCTTAAATGCTTTTCTCTTTTGCCTGTTGGAGATGAAGAAAAAGGATTGGCTAAATTAAAAGTCAAATGAAATTATAGAAGAGTGCCTATTTTAGAAGACTTGCATAGCAGAGGTAAATGTCAGGCAGCAAAAGAACTTAATAATCATTTGCAGCTTTTTCATTGAGAATAATGTGAGACTCGTGTTGGCATTCTTTAACACTTCTTTTAAGAGCCAAAATAAATAAATCAAAGCCTCAATGCCAGATAGCAGCAAAACAAAATTGAAGGTTTTGATCCATCCCAGAGTTGCCCATGATTTGCAGACAGGCCAACAGTTACAAGATGCAGCAACTGGGGTTGGACAGGCACTACCAGTTCCATCATAGGAATCATAATAGAATTGCTAGTCCAATCGCCATCAGTTTATTCCAGCACATTACCATTTATCGTCTTAACAAATCACTCAAGGATTTTAAGAAAATAGTTCATACTTGAGTCAGGACTTTTTTGTTCCTTCTGCATCAACATGTTTCCAAGGGTTGAGAGCTTCTCTAACTGCCTGAGCTTCCGGAGAATTCTCCAAAGCCCGCTTTTCTGACTCCAAAACAGTTACTTTGTCATCTGCAGGATGCAAAAAAAAAAAAAAAAAATTTAAATTTCTTATTACATCTAAATCCTTTGAGGAAAAAACATTCAGGGAGATATCAAAATCCTGAAGAAAACAATTATTAATAGCCTCTTCATATGCAAAATATTATGTTGATAGCAATTTGACCAAAAAAATAATGTGAAAAGACATATGATGGAGTCCATGATCAACATCAACATCAACATATGATGGAAGACCATGATACTTCCCAAAAATCCAAATGCACTGTATTTTGGAGTTGTGTATCTACTAGTATTGCAGTCAAAATGTTTTTACCCCAGATACTAATCTAGCAACCAAAATCAGTAACCTGCTACTGGACAACTCAAAAGCTCATATCATATTAAGCGAGGATATGAAATCATAATAAATTTCAATAGCCTGTATCAATAAGAACATGAAATGCAAACACAAGTAAAAGCTAAGGCAGATCACGAGTGATTAAAGAATAAGAAAGGAAACTTCTCACACAGAAGCCAGTTTTGATCATGAACAACTCCATAGAAGCCCCAACCAAAGCGGACCCAACCCCAATCTTCAAGTACCAATCAAGAAACTTCATATTCAACTGCATAAAATGGCAACAATAATCATTGAATAAAGATTTGAATGATAACAACGAGGCTCCATTTGGACGTTGAAATTAAAATCTGAATACATAACTGTAAATCAAACAATAATTCTAACAGAACTGCAAATTGGGTTGAGATAGAAATAAGCGAGAGAAGAGATAGAGAGCACGTAGAGCTGTCAAAACGGGCCACCACGGCCAGTTAGGCCCTAGCCCATGCGGGCTAGGGCTAGAAAGCCCACATGGCCAAAAAGCCCGCATATTAAACAGCCAGCACAGGCCAAAAAATCACATAACCCAACGGGTTAGGGCCAGCCTGCGGGCCAAAAATAATATAATTTTTTTTAGTTTTCTCACAAACTAAAAAATATATATAGTTTCTATAAAAAAAATTAGAAAAAGTTATATCATAAATAAGTTTTTTTTAAAATTAAAAAAAATGATTACAATAGAATCCACCATTATTTGTATAGAGCTTATGAAACTTGTTTTTATGTCTTTCTCTTTTCTCTTTGATAACATGAAATCAAACATGAACCAAATACAAATCCAAATTCACCCCTCCATACTTATAATTAGAACCATTAACCATTAACCACTAACCACTGTCATTAAATTAGACAAAAACAAAACTTAAACAGTGCAGAAACATTCGGTCTCTTCCTAGCACTGTCCAAATAATATTAACAAAATACTGAGTCATCAATTCAATTTTCTCCTGTATATTATTGTAAAGATCCATCACTAACAAACAATTCACCAAGTAATATTTAATGCATTTTCCCTGCCTCTATCAAGGACACCAAAAATTCTCATCTATGGGGAAAATCTATAGTGATATAAAAAATAAACAATCATAAAAAAGGTAACATAGTAATTGCAAAATATATCCTTCAAGAGTCAAGACAAGCTCAGCAGTTTTGTCAAGCCCCATCCAAGAAAATTGTTTCAAAGTATCAGCTTGTGTATCTTTTTCCTATAGAATTTTATCCAGTTTCCTCTGGATTGTGGCACTTCGCAAAACCAAATGTTATGTGCAAGAGCGAAGGTGTGCCTCTCGATTGTTGATTTTCAAAGAATGATAATGAACATGAGATATTTTAAAATGCAGTAGAATTAGAGAAAAGTAGCATCAATTTATCCAAGGTTTCAGGGTAAAACTTCCTGGCAAATAAATAACAAGGTCGTTTCGAACCATTTATACCTGTGCATCACTTGTAATACGTGGACTTTCATCAATGGACTGCAGTGAATAAAATTGGCATAAAGTGAATCTACTGGTACTTTCCGAAAATAACTTGAATGAAGTTTTTATAGCACCAACAAACTGGGAATATTTCATGGTTTATTTTATAGGACCAACATGCATGACATAACATCAATAATGGTCAGCATCAGCAACAATGAACAATAATAGTCCAAGGTAAATCAAAACAAAATAAATGGCAGAAGATTCCGAATTCATTTTGTCTAAAACAAATTGGCAATTCTTTTGCATGAAAACCAAGTACCTTGCAATTGATATATCAACTTCAAAGGATCCATGAAAAGTGGCTTTAAAAAAAGGCTTGTGATTTACATAGGACCGAGAATGAGCAGCTTCAATTAAATAGCTTCCGGGGCCTGTTTCTAATATGAGGGATAGCATGTTTCCTGGCCCTACTTATCTACTTTATTTCTAATACCCGCAATTAAAAGGTCTATATGGCACTAGGAGTAGTGCTTCCTTAACCGTAAGATCAAGTGGGGAAGTGAGCTTTTATGAGCTTTATCTCGAAAACAACATGTGGAAGGAGCATGTTATCAATTTCCATATCCGAAAATTGAAGAAAACATATAGGACTATACAGAGCTATCTCGGATGAAGTAGCCGAGGCAAAAGCAATAACAAATTGCTAGTTTTCCTATGCTTAGTTAATGTATTCCATGATTTATATGTGAGGAGGGATCAATATCAATTGATCCTTCTCTTCATATTTATATACTTGATAAGATATGCTATCTATGAGCACGACTCGATGAGTGCTCGTGTATGAAGATTTAATAAGGAAACAAACTTATGATTAATAACATATAAAATTGTACCAGCCAAAATATCAGTGTACACAATCAATTATTCTTTCTATTAGTCTTTTGCTATTATTATTTTAACAGGGGATACTTTTAGCTGAAAATAGATCAATTGATCAGCCCGAAAATAAAAGACCGGCCATTTAAGACGTATAATGCTAACAAGAAAACAAATATGAAAAAGTAATTCTAAGTGCGAATATTTAACTGTAAAGCCTCATGTCGATTAGAAATGAAACAAGCGAGAATTATTTAACTGTAATAGACCACAACCAATGTGTAGCCATTGAACAAACTAAACTAAACGGATGTGCACGACTTCAAACTTTCCATATTATATCTTCACAATTTTGTAGGCTTAAGTTCCTATTCTTTTCGTTCTCCAGGATATTGTAACAAGGGTTCTAGCTAATGCATAATATTAGCTTCGTAAAAATGCCGTGATCCAACATTTTTTTTACACTATCCTGGCTACTAAAGAAATCTTCTATAGCCCCAAACCTTTAAGATCAGTAGGCTACGACGAGCCAAACCAGTAAATATTTAATTTTAAGAAATTAAGATACCTACTCTACCCTCTAATCACAATCCATGGTATTTCAGCATGTATTCCTATCACCAAATCCATTATTGGAAATCTGAATACAAAGAATGAATCACCAAATCCATGGTATTTAGATTTTGACTTTTTATGGACTAGTGACTAGTGATTCAATTTAAAAATAAAAAACTTACTAACATCGCATTTCACTAAAGCTAGGTCCGTCTGTTAAAAAGTTAATTCACTGTCAGCTTGACAAAGCCATGAATCATGGAATTGAGATGGATTGATACCTTTCTTACACAATGGAATTTACAGACATTTCAAAGCATAATTTGAAGGAAGAAAGACATCACAAAAGAAAAAGGAAAGCATTTCTCTACACCTAATCATTCACACCAAAGATCTAAATAACCCGCCCAACCAAACAGTTTGAGTGCTATAGGAGGCAAAATGATAGTTCTTTTACTGTTAACAATTGCTCCCAAAATAAGAAAAGATGGGAAGAAATGATAGTTCGTTAAAAATTTTAGAACCAAGGCAACAAGAGCATATCAGTTTGAACAAAAAAAAAATACCAAATAGTTGATGAGAATACAAAAATCTCTTTGGTCCTTCAAACCAACAAATACCTGTGCAAGATTCGATGATAGTGGCAGAAAACAACACCCTTGCAAAGCTGGTATATCAACCTCTGCAAACAAATCCACAGAATCAAAGAAAAATTCAAACAAGAAGCCTTAAAAGTTACTCGATAGCACAATTTAAATTGAAAAAAAAAAATGACCCAGATGAAATTTCAAAGTTAAAGGGCAAACACCCCATGATAACATATGAAGCAAGCAGAAAAATCCTAAGAAAAACATATGAAGCCATCGAGGAGAAAAAAAACTTGTGAAAATAAACCGTACCTTTGTAAAGAAGAAGAAGAACTAGTTGAAGCAAGAAGAAATCAGAAGAGAAGAAGAACGAGTCGAACAACCTTTGTGAAGAAGAAGAAAAAATGGCTCGTGGAGAAGACGAACGACGAGAAAGAGAAATTACGTTTTGATAAAGGGGCTGGCCCGCGGTTGACCCTTCTGTAACCCAAAAAGAACGAGGGAAAAAAAAGGGGGGCTGAAAAATAAACCTACCAATGAGGGCCCAAGGGGTGGCCCACAGGGTTAGGGCCTTTTTGACAGCTCTAAGAGCAGATACCAAATAATCGCAGTTCGCGGGTCGGAACGATTGATTTGTTTCCAGACGATTGTTTTGTTTTGCTTTGTTTTGGGGCTTTGAAAGAAGAACAAGCCAAAGCCCAAGAAGAAGCCCAATTGATTAAAAAAAAAAATGCATGATTGAAAGTTGAAACGCGTGCGAATTGAGCTCCTAGTCAGTACTCAGTAGTAACTAAACTCCGAATCCGCAACTATTCGGTGCTGAAAACGTTAAGGTGAAATCAATCTCAGCCGTTAATAAACCAGATCTCAATCAACGAATGATAAGTCATACACGTCATCGATCCGGGTGAAACACTATCTTCCAACCAGAATCCATCTCTAATCACTATATTTTCTACAATCTTCGCTTCATCACACATCGCATTCTTTCTTTTAACACTCGCTCGCACGAACGCACTTTTTCTCCAAATCAACAGAAGAATCTCGAAGTTCATCCATGGCTCCAGCAAAGGCAGAGAAGAAACCGGCGGAGAAGAAGCCAGCGGCGGAGAAGGCGCCGGCGGAGAAAAAGCCGAAGGCCGAGAAGAAGATCTCGAAGGAAGGTGGCAGCGACAAGAAGAAGAAGCGCGTGAAGAAGAGCGTTGAGACTTACAAGATTTACATCTTCAAGGTGCTGAAGCAGGTTCACCCTGACATCGGCATTTCCAGCAAGGCCATGGGGATCATGAACAGCTTCATCAACGATATCTTCGAGAAACTCGCTCAGGAGGCATCGCGCTTGGCTCGCTACAACAAGAAGCCAACGATCACATCGAGGGAGATCCAGACGGCGGTGCGATTGGTGCTTCCCGGTGAATTGGCTAAACACGCCGTTTCCGAGGGAACCAAGGCCGTTACCAAATTCACCAGTTCTTAGATTTCGAATTTGGTGGTTGATTTATTTCAATTCTCTGAGATCTAGGTTTTGTGTGAAATTTAGGATGTAGATGTAGTGTTCTGAACAGTTTGTTAATGGATGCTTTTCCTTTTTTATAATCGTGTGATTGTGATTATTATATTTCTTTTATTTTTGCGTATTTTAGCGATGGAGGCTTCAAGCTCACCTAAAAACACCGAAATAAGAGCAAGCTTAATCTTACACTTCAATCGTTTATCTATTTACATAATTATTAAAAATGAGTGTTTCGATCAATTTCCGTAGCGCTTTCGTTTCCAGTGACATAACACAACTGAATCTTTGTATAATCTTAAATTTTAAATTGGCCCTCGCCTAATAAAACGGGAAAACACTTCCTCCAAACCCAGAAACGGATTATGCTTATATCAGATAAATTTTTGGTTAATGTATGTTTCAGCAATCTTATTTTAATTACGATTACTTAATTTTTATATATATCTCCATACTGGTAAATCGCAATCATATTTTTCGAAGAATGCCTAATGGCACCTAGTCATGATGCCATCCTTAGCTGAAAACCTTTTGAGATGGCGCTTCTGTTAGTTTCAGTACTAGTGTTATTGTTACTTCATGTATTGTTATAGTTGACATTGCCACCATGGCATTGATTAATTACTTTATATACTGGTATTTCTGTTATGCATATATTGCTGCTTTGCAAAAACACTTACCAAAAATATTATCTGAAATATGATTTTTTATTTGATACAGGAGAAATTTTTATTTATCCGGAAATCTCGATTTTTCCAAAATATGATTTTTACATTCAATCTACGATAATATCTGAAAATTTAAAATTTAGAAAAATTCAGTTTCTCGAAAATACCTGAAAATCCCGCTTACATGATCTGGTTTCCCGGTCCCCTTATATGATCTGGTTTCCTTGGATTTCTTCCTTTATTATGAAGATTAATAATAATAATAATGCTTTTATTATTCATTTAATATTATTCATTCCTATTAATGATGTGCATGATAACTTCATAAGTAAACATAAATGTACTTTTAGTGATTCATTACATATACAAGATGCTCGCAAGTTAGAAGATGCATTTGCAGGTGATGATTGATAAATGCGGTCTGGGGAGGGGAACTGTAGAGGTTTTGAACAGCAAGAAACCAAACTAATGATGAAGTGCTTGAAAAAGTGGTCAACCTTTCCTTATCCTGATATGATGTTTCCTTCAAGCTCTTCTTAGGAGACTGGTACATCATTGACAGAATCATTCTCTAAGAATCTCCACATCAAAGCTACTCATACTCAATATCTCCGGCAGTAGTATTTCTTAATGTTATTTTGTTCGCCGAAGAAAAAAAAAAAAGACCAAGTTCTGATATACAACGTAAATATTGTCATCAATGTATGCTTTTATTTTAATGAGAAAATGCAGAAAATTATTAGCGGAATGAACTGTTTAACTTTATTCGTTTTGATATAAAAGGACAAGAATGTTCACCTAAATTGTTGTTTGCGTGTTCAAGTGAGGGTATCAATTTGTAGGCGTATCGTATGCGCATCTGGAATTTGGTGAATAAAAAGCATTTCTAATTTACACAAGAGATTTAGCGTTTCGTGATTAAAAATTGTTTGGTGCTATCTTGAAAGACCAAAGGCTCTTTAATGTACCGTGCAAAGTAGCCTGATGTACTATACATATCTTTATTATTATTATTATTATTATTATTATAGGCTTCTAGGTAAAGTGCTGGAAGGGCATCTGAACCCGGTCCTTTTTTTCTCACACCATCTTAAAGTTACAAGGCTGCTAATTACATCACTGTTATCGTTCAGCTGTGCTTCTGCATTCATCATTGAAAGCAATTGTAGCTGCAGCGGGCAGTAAAGATCATAGTAATGTCCAGGCCAAAAGTTGGAAATGGTATCGAATTATTTGTTAACTTTAAAGCTCAAACTAATGTCTACCTGATTAAGTGGCCATTGGGGCCACAATCCCTGCTTTCATTTACCTATATGGAATTACTGGGATACCATACAGACCACGGATTAAACATGTGCTGATGTGCACATCAGACAAATGAAAAGAGCAGGGGTTACAACACAAGATACAGAATTGAACATCCTAAGGCAACTGACGAAACAGGCGCATCATGAACATTTTATTACACTAATCAATTTCTTTATGCGCTGATTTCAGTGGCACATAAATTTACTGCTCAAGTTGATAATGAACGGAAATCAGTGCATAATCAAACATTATGCCAATGTACGTGCGGTGACTTTCATTTGGTTATGTTGTATACTCCGCATTTATTTTGACATAATCGTAGCTTAAATCACATCCCCATGCTTGTCCACGTCCTGGTCCATTGCCTGTTAGTAGAAAATGAATATCAATGAGTAAATATGGTAATATTACGAAGACGATTCAACAGAATTCCCCTCTCCGGCTTTTAAATTCTAGACTGAACATATAAAAAAGGGCCCCGTGTGCTGTTTGGGTTATTACCAACAGATATCTGAATTCTAACAGTATCGTGAGTCTCCCCAGCCTTTCTGAGATAACTACTAGCCGCGCCCCTGCCACGTTTGCAAGATTGTAAAATATAGATTAACCAACACAAGGGATGAAAAATGAAAAGCATGTTAAACAGCAAATACGGTAGTTTGTAATTAAACAAACAAGCAATCATTACTCATTAGACCGCAAACAGTGCATGCCACTACTGCAAGCACAAAGCATGTGCAAGCATATAGAATCTAAATTGCATGGACAAAGAAGACCTCGGGCAAAAAAAATTTCTCCTAAAAATGAACAAAATAATTAGGTGGATCAACGTTTTCCATGATCAGACGATTGTCCGGTAAAAGCATCATCATAGAAATTAAAATTGAATATTACATTCCAATGTTTATTTTGACAAGTAGGGAAAAAGGAAACGGAATATTCTCTTTTGGGAAGATGGAAAATGATAGCTGACATTATTAGAGAAGTAAAACTCATTGCATAATAACAATCTCTTGTTACACAGGTCCTAAATGCTAAAGTCGCATGGAACAACATGGGAAACTAATCAGGGGAACAATGTTATTCTACTTTGTTTTCATTATTGATCTTTTCATTATTTGGACATATTAATAATTTGACTAAATGATGGATGTTTAAGTGAACAGTTTCCTTCATGCAACAGAAATGGTAAATTGACACCCTTCCACAGCATCAGAAATTGCACATTCACAGACTGGTATTTAAGACAAAAAAGTATTTTGTTGGTGTCAAGGGTTTTAAACTTTTACTAAGAAAATTTAACAGTAGTAAAGCGTCGGAGAAAGAAGAGAAATCCTACAGGTCAAATAATTGTGTACTATTATGGTCACTTATATTATTTTTATGTTATCATATTCATAACAATATTATTTACATGTCACTTATATTATTTTCTTATAATTTTATACTACATTTTACAATATATATATATATATATATATATATATATATTTCTTTTTTCAACATTTTTTTCTATTTGTAAATATAAAAAAAGTATAAGAAATCATATAAAAAATATGGTGTATATGAATCGTTGGGGCCAACGGTGTATACTTTAACATTTTTCCGGAGTTTTGTTTTATCAAAAATAAAATTTAATCCTAAAAATAAAAATGGTGGCTACTTGATTATAACTAGAAAAAATAACAATATAGTTGTTGGAAGGGGATCTGAAAAAATTTCACAAGAGGCAATTTATAGCTAGATGTGACAAAATGAAGGAAAACACATTAACTACCAAAAAATAAATAAATAAAATCAGTGAGAGCATTAGCCCCAACATCAATATGCAAATTAAGGCCTTTTTTATCTTTCTCCTCCTATCTATACAATTCAATATTAATATTATATTCTGAGAAACGATTCATATACACCATATTTTTTATACTTTTTTATATTCACAAATAGAAAAAATATTGAAATACATATATATATATATATATATATATATATTAAAAATGTAGTATAAAATTATAAGAAAGTAATATAAGTGATGTTTAAATAATATTGTTATGATAACATAAAAATCAGAAGTCCTACCGGTCAAACAATTGTGGTTCCCCAGCATCCATTAGTAAAATATCTCCCAGCTCCACCCGAAGTAAATTTTGGTGGAAAGAAACCCCCGAGTAACCAGCCGCAGCAGCAATACGTCCCCAATTGGGATCTCTCCCATATACAGCAGCCTGATGGACATTATGTTAGAAAATTAGACTTCAGCCAGATTAAAATGGAAAAAGAATTCTTTAGTTCAATTATATCATGCCTTTACAAGTGAAGATGATGCAACTGAACGTGCAACTTTTGCAGCTTCAGACTCGCTATTTGCACCAGTCACACCGACCTGCAAAGTGAAGATGGAATTTGATGACAAATAATAATATCAAGCAGGACTGGAACCACATTCTTACTGATCAACATCAACAGAACTTCATAATCCACTTAGACAGCTACCAAATCACAGAGAAATAGACAATAAGAACTAAATGAACAAATTAAGTGCCCAAATAAGACATCGGCACTGGCTTATTTACCTTACCAAAAAAATCATACATACATATGTGTATAAAAAGAAAGCAACCCCTCTCTCTTCTCTTGCTTAGAGCATGGTAGTCAAAAATGCAATCTTCCTCGTGAGATGCATGATCCTACAAGTCCAGCCATCCCCCCAAGGCAATCATGACGACACTCAAAACTCATTCTGGTGAGATCATCTGAATCAACAATCTTGCACATAAGATCAGTGGGACCAGGCAATCCCACCGTGCTGGAATGTATGTGCGTGTAGGATATTACTATAAAAAATCATTTCAACCCTAAAACCTAAGTTGTTAGGTGAGACTACAAAATGGGTTTTATATTATATTTCTCTAGCATGCCACCTCACAAAAGTTCATTGAGCTTGAAAGGTGGACAATGCACAGGCCCCCTCCTGTCTATATTAAACTCCACAATATTTAATTATTTATTAATAGAATGAGGGGCAGTAAGGATCGAACTCGTGACCACTTAATTACGGAAGCTCTGATACCATATAGGAAAACCAAGAGAGGGCAGGTTTTGTGTTATGATCCGTGTCATATTATATTATTACGATCTGTGTTATGATCACACGATTTATGTGTTCTCCCCCTTCCTCCCATTAGATAGCAAAAGCAATGCTGCCATCCCACCTTTTTCTGGTGGGAGCCCCAGCGCCTCCTTTCCCTTTTGATAGGCCATTGATTAAAAGGGTGTACACCAAAAGAACAAGGTTGGGAGCAGAGTATCAGGTTCAATTGGATGATGTGGCTTAAAAGTTGTATGGGATGAGTAGAGAGAACATTCTGGTATAATCTCTATCATGACTGAGGCTATATATAGGAAAAAAGGAGATAATCTTTGAGTAGAAAATGATGAGTGGATTGGGACACTTTGGGGTGTAGTGGGAGAGTACTGGTTTCTCTAATTACCAGTGTTATCTTTATTTTATTTTTATCCCTTATTAGCTTTTCTGTTAATCTTTCCTTTTCCTTCAATTTGTCTACTCTTTATTATCTGATACCTATCTTTTGTTTTTGTTATTATTTTCAAATAAATTGCTAAAATTTGTCAGATCTTGTTTGTATCTTTGTTGTCTATTTTTGGGGAGGATTTTGTTTTCCCTTTATAGGGTGTCTTTTGTCAGTCCCCTTATATTGGTCCTAAAGGTCTCATAGGTAGGGGAGAGTTCCAAATCTACTTTGAAAGGAGCCGTAATACTCTCTTCAAGCTGCACCACTTTCTGTATTGGTCTCTGCGGTGAAATATGATTAGTCTTCTGGTCAAGGAGAAAAATACTCATTGCTTGTTAGTTCATATATATTGTATTTGTTTCTATCTCTATCTATATCTGATGTATCTTTTCCGATTTGTAAGAGCCATTTGACTTCATTTGTAATGAATTTCCATCTCATAAAAAAAGACAGAGTTAAACAAAACAAGCAGTAGAGATCTGGACGGATGGGAGAAAAGTAGAAATTGAGGGCCATATTATTTAAAATTATTCATTTTGATTTTTATATATACATTTAACACTATATTTATATTGGTTAATTAACAAATATTTGAATAGATGAGGATTTTTTGAAACAAGAGCAGGATGAAAACTATCTCTTGTTCTCTTAAGAGCAAAGACTTTTTCAATCGTGCTCGGCCACAATTAACATTGAGGATTAATATTGGATGTATGAAAGAACAAAATAGCACAAATATCCTTGACAGTTGACACAAAAAGCAGACCTCAATGAGGCATGTTGCTCCCTCTCCATCCCAAGCTATTGATTTGGCAAGACCTTGCATTACCTGGAAAGGACAAGTAAATCAAAACTGCCCATTTACTGAAAGAAAATCACTTTTGCACAATAAATTTCAAGCCTCAAGGCAATCATGGGACAAGATCTAAGAGAAAGAGAGGATTATAAAAACAGAATCTCATGCATTTTTGCAGACTTTCTTTTGTAAGGAAGGGATGGGGAAAGAGAGCTAAGCATAAAAAGATATCGTTAACTCCAACTACAACAGTCTAAATGCTACCAAGTATGCAAGCTAACCACTAAATTGTACCTTGACACACCTGTGCAGGGTTGGAAAGGAGAGGGGGGAGGCACTTCATTATTTAAAAGAAAAAGGAATGGGGATAATGTATACACCACCACCTGCATATTACAGAATAACTAATCCCAAATGCACTATGACACTAACACGAGTAAGTCATGGTACTTCATTCTCCAGTTTTACTAGAACTATAAAGCTTCCAGCAAGAGTAAAAGTAGATCATTATATTATTTTGCTCAACAGGAAAGAAAGAAAATATGAAATAACAAAATAGTGACGAAATTGTACAAGTTCAACTTTACCGCATCTAGGCAACCCTGAAGTTGAATAGCCTCATCACTGTCTAGAGAAGATATGCAGCCTAGCCCACACAATCCACTAGCCAAAGCAATAACAGTATCATTAGTACTAGTATCTCCATCTACCTGTGGTAAAAATGCAAAAGCAAGGTAAGAATCAATCACAATCCAAAAAATGGACTAATATCACGAGCAAAATCTTTTTGATGGAGATAACATGGCATTGCGTTGCACAAGACAACTAAAGTAAATTTCACAAATACTCTTTTGACATATAATAGTATAATTTCAATGGTGAAATTATCACATGTTTTTTAATTTTAATTTGGAGAGAATAATGAAAAATAAAATTTATATAAATTATTATGTAGCACTACTATATCACCGAATGAATTCGCGGTCTCCAGAAAAGAGTGAAAATTACATACAGTTATCTGGTTGAAACTCCGGTTTACAGCAACCTGCACCATCTTTCTCCAAACATCGCTGGTTACCCGGGCATCAGTTGTTATTACCTAGGGTAGATATAGTTCAAGAAATGGACTGGAAAATCCATATATTCCAAGTAAGAAAGAAGCATCAGGTAAGGCATACCCCAAGCATGGTAGCCATATTTGGGTGGATCATTCCAGAACCTTTTGCCATTCCCCCAACTCTGACCTTAGTTCCTCCAACCTAACCAATACCCGAAAATAATAAGAAAAAGACAACCTCTCTTTTTTCTCACTCTTTTAAATTAGCAAGAAAATATGGAATGTGGGGATGAACCAATATAATTGGTGAACTTAATTCCCAAAAGTTAAAGAGTTAAGGTTTCTGTCGTTGGAATTACATGTTCACAGAATTATGGAAAGCTATCATACACATCAACACTATATTTATGAATCAAATAATCTCTCTATTTGTTTTAGTAATTATTAACAATCTATACCGGTTGTATTGTATTGAGGTTCAAACATCCAATTATGACTTGAAGTACAGTGGATGACTGCATAGAAATTTCCAAAGGAGACAAGTTGTAGATTTGTTTTTCCATTAGTCACATAAAACATCCCTTTGGGCTGTTGACTAAGTGTTCATATCAAAAACTCATCCCAGTGAGCTGAAAGCATATCAATTTTTTGATTAATTCACAGGACCAAATCCATCCATCCATAGTTAAATAAAAATGTGTGTTTATCTATATAATGTATGCATGCTTATAAAGTAGTTAAATATGCACTGGTTGTATGGACTTAAAACCAGCAAGCAAAGTAGGAACAAGTAATACCAGAGACTCAATTGCCACACTCTTGCTAACAAGATCTGTTGTGGTGATTGCCACTGCTGCAGAATCTGCCCTGTATGCAAGCTAATAAGATTTGAAAAAGAAAAGGAACCAATGAAGGATTGAAAAATAGACACAACCAGTGTTGGTCAGAGCTAAATATTTTTCAAAGAATAAGAAAACAGTGATAAGAAAGGAAGGCAAAAAAAATTCCACATGAATACAAAGGCCATTTAATAAACGTGAGTTTCTTAACATTATTGCATGTCAATTATAAAAATTGAAAGTAAAATTAAATCATAAAATAAAGGAATTACCTGTCAACTGAAGATGATAGTGAATTCACCAGTATGGGAAGTGAGTTTAAAAGTGCCCCCTGCAAATCAAATGATAACTATATAACATTGAAAAGAACAGAATTTAAGCTTGATGGAATACTTTTTACGTGGCTTATCCAAGTTTTGTGAATGCATAGTCCACATCATAGAAAGCCTCATCACAAAAGGACACAAGCAGACAAGATATAATACCCAATTCAGAGAGTCTCTGCATTTACCTTCCTTATTCTTTGACCAATTACGCCTGTGGATTCAACTAATACTTCTTCTGGCTTCATTTTGAGTAGCTGTAATTACGAACATTAGTAGTAAAGACTAAAAACAAAACCTTTCAACATGGAGCACTATAAGTAGGATCAGTTTAACATAATGAATGGGTGCACACCTTAGCAAGGCTTTCCACACATTCTAACACGTCCTGGTAACCTGCTTCACCCTAGAGGTATGGAAGGCCACAACCACTAAAAAATTTATTAAATTTCACCAATTTGTTTTTCTAAAAAAAAAAAGGTTGAATGAACCAAGTTCCCCAAAGTAACTAGAGTGAAGCTACACTTCAGTAGACTATAAATTGAATATTACCCACAGGTAAATGAAACAGAAATAGTTTTCTTGACCTACCGTAGCTGCATTTGCTTGACCTGCATTAGTTAATACAGCACGTGCCTGACAAATTGCAAAATTCATTTATTAGCGGGCAACCATGCATGAAATATTGACGTTCAAAAGCGTAACAATGCAAGCATTATATGCTAATGGAATCTTAGGTGATTGGATGAGCAAACACCCATGTCCTGATACAAAAACCACTCAAACAAACAGAAGGAGAGAATCAGAGAAATGATTATAAACAATGACAGTTCTTATCAGAGAAACAACAACTGCAGCCCCAAAGGGTAATGACAAGGTTAGTCATCATTAGAGCCGGCGAAACGGGCTCGGCTCGGCGGGCCAACCCGCCCAACGGGGCGGGGCGGGCTGGCTCATTTTTTGGCGGGTTGATGGCGGGGCGGGGCGCCCACTTTGCCACCTCTAGTCATCATAACATATGTTGTGTAATGCATTAAGTACAAGCTCAGTTCTATCTTAATTAAAAAGAAGAAGCAACGAACACAAAAGTCTCTTACAGTTTTTGAAATGTCTAATGTCCTTTTGCAGTATAACACTGGAGCAGCAGCAACCACATTTGTTGTAAATGACCCTGAAAAAAATAAATATTGATCACATAAAGTGCGTGCCAAACTCAAAATTAATAACTGTCAAAATAAGCAAGATGAAAGCTAACCTGCAGATATGGCATCAACATCGCACGTGACAAGGGCAAGATCAGGCTTTTCTCCTTTGGCACGCAACCCTCCATATATTCCTGCAGCTTTAAATCCCTCTGCAGCAGTAACTCCGCCTGGAACCTGAAAACTCGAAATCAATATTCCGCCACTAATATAAAAAGTTGAATATCACAACAATGTCCCGTTTTGAAAAGAACATTTCTGAAATATAAAAAAAATAAAAACTCATACAAGGCAACAATAACTGAAGAAGTATGATCAATTAGAAACTGACCTGCTTCCAGGGTCCTTCGGGGAGAAAAATTGGAGCAGCCGGTATGTAACTAGAAACCTGATTCTCCGTCGTCGATACAGCACGGATTATCAAATTCCGTAGAGAAGAACCGCGCGAATTAAACACCTGCAGACGAGGATGATTTGAAAACGTGTTTTCCCAGCAATTCTCGGCAACCAAACAAGCATTGTTCAGAAGAACGAGAGAGAGAGAGATAAAGTTGTTACTGACCTTTGGGTTTGGGGAAGTTGCGGAGTGAAACTGAAGAAAATGGTGCTGAGGAATACACGAATACATTTCTCTCAATGTAATGTATTGTTTTTTTTTGGTTTTAGGGTTTTGGGGTTTAATCGGGGTGTGTGTGTGTGATCGATGACAGTAGAGCAGAGATGCTAAATATGCCCTATAGCGAATTTTATTTTATTTTTGAAGTATAGAAATGGGCCCCTATAGTGATTTAACACTAGAGAAGCTACAGTAGATCTATTAGTACTGCCTACCGCGATTTAACTAGCTTAGTAGTGTAATGGTGAGTGCTGTGGATAGTTTGTGTTCTGATCCTTCCTCGTGTATAAAAAAAAACTAACACTCGTTATTCTCTAATAATTTATTTTTGCATTTGAAAAATGAATCATTTCTTCAAAATTCATTTGTAAAATATCATTCCCATATGCAAATTCATTCTTTCGGAATCAATTGAAATAAATTCTAATGCAAACATTCTCTTGGTAAATCCAAACAGTATGAGACATTGGAGGCATTAAGGAAGTGCTCAAGTAAATCAATGGGGATGACGGGACGAGGCCACAATCCTACTAGACGCAACTGAGTTACTAAGATAGACCCAGTAAGATCAAATACAAGGAGGATACATCAAGCCTTACTTCCCTTGAAATGACACAATGAACAATTTTTTTTAAAATATATATTGGCAATGAGTAATTTAAGTTTAACGAGAGAATATCAAGCTTTTATAAAGAATAAGTAATCGGATAATGATTTTATCCATATATATTGATCAAACTTCATGTGCAAATGTAGAAAAAGAATCCATTCTCTTTTTCATTTTTTTATTAAAGCTTTATTCTTTTATAGCAATTTAATTTTATCATATATTTACTTATTCATTATTTTTTTTCAAATGAATTTTTCTGCATTTAACTAGCGCATTTCCATATAAAATAATATTCAGTGGACTAAAATTTGTTATGAGTCAACTTCGATAGATGGAACGGCTCTGCCCAAAAACCGAATTGATAGAGATGAAGGGCTTATTTGATTATATTCTGATTTTTTTTGTTTTTAAAACAATTTTGTAAAATAATTTATAAGAACTGTTTTTTCCTAGTTTAATAATTTATTTTTAAGAGTTTTAAAACTTAAAAATCAGAAAATTTTGATTGATAATTTTGCTTTGAAAACATATGTTCAAAGTTAAAAAACAGAAAACTAGTTCGATTACTTCTTTTTTTGTCAACTTTATTTTACAACTTTTTTAACCATATGTAAAAAAAAAAAAAAAAAAAAAAAAAAAAATGGTGAGCAACCATATTATATGAAAAATTGGGGGATTTTGCTTTTAGAGTGGGCATTTGTACAGATTATATAGCGGAGTTAGCGAGGAATCAAATTTGCTTGGAAGAAAGGTTTCAAGAAGGTTATCGATGAAAATGATTCCAGTGCGATTATCCTTATGCTTAACTTCAGAGACCTGCTCGAGTGTCTCCATTGGTGACACATACTTGAGCATGGACTGAACAAATTGGAACTTAAAATTTTCAACATACTCATAGAGGGACCAAGTTATGCACAGACTGATTGGATGGCTAACTTTCATCCGGTCTGCCAAGCGACAGGACTAGAACTTTTCAGAAAGTCCACCTAGGTCCTAGTACTCTGCTTTTTGTCTGTGAATAGACACTGCGAGATTAGAATTATGAAGTTATTTTTTTTTTTCGTGTTCTGGTGGACAGAAGCCCTTTTTTAAAAAATATATTAAAAAATAGATATATGAATTTAATAAAGTACAATACAACTTGAATGCACGATCAGGGCAAAGCATATAAGCCTAGCAGTCTGAGCAACAATCACTTCCATCAAGCAAGGGCAGTGTGCGCGCTTTTGTTTGCGAATTCGCGTGACATTATCAAGCAAATAGTTGGTTTACAGCAGTACAAACAGCCAACAGTCAATTCGTCGTGGTTTGTAAATTCCAAAACGAGCCAAAAATCATGAACTTTAATTCGCCATGAAGATACACCATTTTTTTTGGGAAAAAAAAAAAATTCAATACAGTTAAGATTATATAGCTGACATGCATGCTAATAAAAAAAATTGGTCAGCATGCTCCATATTTCAACGCTTCTAATTCTATCCTTTTAGCCCACGTTCCCGTTTCCCACGCTTACTCTTTATCCTACATTGTACAAAAAGAAAGAGACATGGCTGGCGGCCATCCAAAGACCCATCCACAACCACCCATACTCCAAAAAAAAAAAAAAAAACTAAGAAAAGCAAGAACAATAAAGCTAAGAGCAAGAACAAAGCAGCAATGTTACAGTTACGCAAATGCTAAAAAATGAATAAATAACGTAAAAACTAGTTACAACACCAGATAAAGCATCATTCTGTCGCCAGCTGCACTGTCTTCTCCAGCAATGAAGTTTTATTGAAGAGGGTTAGCTGCACCTCTCTAAGACATTTAGATAACTGGCCACAATAAAAAAAAATTGTAATAGTTAATGCTTGTTAATGTCTGCAACAGTTTCTTCGAATTTTGAATTCAAGTCACCATAACAATTATCTTGTGTCAGTAGAATAAAATAAACTCGTCATGTTTTAGTTTAGTATTTTCCGTCACAGCACCTGTGCTATTCCACATAATTAACAGCAAACATTGAAAGTCTTCCAATATGGAATCAGGCATATGGTGGCTAACTACCCTAGACGATTACCTCAAGACCAGCAAACCATTCAGGTCCAAGGCGATTAAAAGCATCAAAGGGAAGTGATTTATATTTTAACAAATGCAAGAAAATGTCACGCTTTTTTATTTTAAAATATTTTGGATTCCCAGCAAATCACTCCAGATCTTCTTTCCCTAGTTAACCAGTAAATGTAGAAGGATGAACTTACCTGATCTTCACTCATCTTTCGGAAGCCTAATTTCTTAGTCCAAATTGACTCAGCATCCCCTGCTGCAGGAAGCACCAGCTTTTCTACATTTAGAGAAGATAGCAACCTCTCTATGCAAGAGAACAACACTTGAAAATAACCCTACATGAAAAATCACAAGTTAATGAAAACTTATCATTACTAAACATCAATTATCTTTGAAAGATGTAAAAGGAGTGTTATTGGAATGCATCTATCAAATAACTTTCTCAATTTTGGGTCATGCCTGAATTACAATAAATTGCTTACTTTTCCTTGATGTTCTCTGCTTGTAGCTACCAGTGGAAGCTCAGAAATATTACGGCCAAATATCCTAAGAAGCCCAGCAGATACTACAACAGAACTGTGCAAATATGATATATAGTTATATACAATGACAACGTAACCAAATAGAAGCACTATCAAGAAAATAAGGAAAGCAGAGAAAGTCACATACTTCACAATTAAAACAATGCAATACATGCCTCCAAATTCTTGACCAGAAATATTTCTCCTGCACAAAATTCAAAAATACACTATATCACCCCAACATACGATTAACAAAATGATCACGAACACTTAACAGAATCCTGGGCATGCAACCCAAGCACTGATTGAAACAATCATTTACAACCTCTTGTTGACAAATGCATCATCATATGACTCATGTCTACCAAAAAGCCATAGCAAGACTTGTAATACAATAGAAATTATAAATTCAAATGTTAAAACAAGAAAATTTCAAATAAGTACCGCTTGTGGTAGATAAATAGGTGCAAATTTAATTAACCTAAAACATGTTATGACACAAAGAAAGCTCGGAGAGCCTACCAAATACTTTTTCCAACCAATGATTGTGCGCAGGGGGAGAGGGGAGGAAATAGTGATAGACAGAAATATACAATGTAAGATTGTTAATAATCCACCGTAAAATAAATCATCACTTAATTGGAAACACAAGAATAAAGAAGGATGTAGGGGCAAGGATCATCAACCACAGTTAACCTACAGTAAAATAAATCATAGTTGCTTACCCATAGACCATAACAGGAATCAGGTCACGACCAGATATCGCAACAATGGGATCAAAACACTCCTGCCAAAACACATTCCCAAAGCATGAGAGAGGACTGGTTGAAACAAAGCATAGAATACATTAATGACAACAGGCAATTTCAATGCCACTGAAGACCCCCATACACAATAATCAACTGGTAGATTAAGAAGTTAATAAAGATAAAACAACTAAAAAGACATTTTCAAAATTTCATGACTGCATGAATTTCACAACAGTCAAAAGTCTCAACCAAAAACTTGCATAGTAGTTAATTGCGCAGTAATAGCACCGCGAGCCGCGTCGTATGGGCATTGCGGTGCCTCGCCGCAAGAAACCACACCGCACCGCACCGCACCGGAGCGCAATGGCGGCCATTACGATCGCATTTGAGGCCAAATCACAACCGTATTGCTGTCATAAGGCAAAATGTCATTTTTGTCCCAAATTTAAATGTGTAACAGAAATTTTTTAAGGGTTTTTTAGTCTATCTACGTCTCTCTCTGTCACTTGTTATCTCTGCATTTAAAAAATGTTTCTTTTTGTCACTATTCTATCATATATCTATTCCACTATTTCCGCAACCCGCTATAGCGTTTTTCGGGGTTGGCTGCGACATGCCGCAATCCGCATTTGATAACTTTGAAAACTTGTCCATAACCTGCCAGAACAAGAGAATCTCCTTTCCCAGCCACCCCACAAAAAAGAAAACTCTGTAGTTACATCCACAGGAAGAATGTGCAGAAGTGTCTTACAAAACATGACAACCAAAAGGTTATGTTTGAACTAGTTGAAAATTGAAAATGGTTTGATTTGATTTAATTTGAATAGAACTGATTTGATATGATAAAAATGAAGTACCATGTTTGAAACTTCTATAAAAAATGGGATTTGAATTGTTCTACATATCAATTTACTTTATTACACTTATTTAGAATAGGTTAAATAACTTACTAATAAGGAAAAAAATGTCAACTAAAAAAATTAGAACTTAAATCAAGTCAAACCCACTCAAATCCGACCAATTTCTAGTAGATTCCTATTTGTACCCAACTTTAAAAAATAAAAAAGGATTTCTAAATCAAATCAATTCCTATTTTATATCTTTAAAAAAAAAGCTTTCATTTATAAAACAAATCAATTCCTAAATATTTGATTCCAAACATATTCATATATAATCAATGATCTCTTTATTTATCATGTAAGCAAAACCCAAAAGATCAGGTTTAGAGAGACAAGTGAGTACTCTTTTGTCATGAATCAGATAAATGTAACAATGAAAACACAACGCTAACAGCTCTCTAATCTATATGACAAGGAAAATTTTCTCAGCTCGAAAGCAAAAGTTGTAACTGTCATTAATATCATATCATCTATAATAGACCTATTTTTTATATCTATTCTGTCACTTTCACAAATTTGAACCGTTCCATCAACCTGAAGTGGGAGCAATTGATAGAACTCATGAACAAAAATGAAAAAATAACAACCATATATACCACAAAATCAAGTATCAGAATTAACATACTTAAAAGTAATAAATACTCACTCGAAATATTGCAGCGGCCCGTGAAAGTAATGGTAAATGCTCTGGATAACGACTTTTTCCACTTAAAATTCTCCACCGGATATCATTCTTGCCTCCATAGGTACATAATCCCCTATCCTCATGCTTCCTGATTATTAGTTCAGACAAGCAAGCAGGTATAAGTTCTGCTCCAGCAGAAACTGAATTCTGTAGAGCCACATATATTCGATTGCAGTCATCACAACAAAACCACTTATCCTTGGGTAGCTCCTGTGGTAAGATGTGAAACTAAATAATTAAAAACAAATACAAGTATCATAAAAATATTTGCTGCAAGACTCGGTGCTTACTTCCAACTCACAAAGCCCAATGTTCCGCAAGCAACCAACATGATACTCCTTCTCACACTGGATAACAACCAATAATATACTTAATAGTTTGAAAAAAGAAAGAAATAGGTCAACACAATTTTCGTCATGTATAAACCATACCTGGTCACAAATTATCACTGTTCGATCATCAAATTTAGCAACACTGAAATCATTTTCCCTATTGACCAATCAAAGGAATTAATATAATAATATAATTAATGCTGGCAGAGATACAGAATATATATATATATATATATATATATATATACACACACATATATATATATATAAAACAATCCATTACCAAAATCTTATTTTAAAGTAACATTGAAATTCCTTTTCCCCAAGGTAAGGAAACTTCTTCCTCATAAAGATGTCAAAATGTGGTTGTTTCGATAAATAGTCTATAAACAACTATATGACCTACCTGCAAACAACACATCCACCCATTTCAATCTCTGGTGCTTTATCAACCCGAGTCAACCGTATCATGATTGGCCTCCCAATACAAGATTCTCTTCCATTACCAGCATTATCTCTACAATTTAGACAATGCCAACCACTTTCTGGAACACAATTTAAACCCAAGCAGGCTGTAATTGAAACACAAAATACCATAATATTAATATATCCTGCACCTTCCCTGATAACTAATTTTTTTTCCATAAAAAATAGCAATATCTGCGACTAGAGTAACCTAGACCTGGTATTGAATGAAATAAGGTAGTAAGACAGACCATATGTTATGCAAGCTATGCCCAGTATGCAACACGTGAATGCAATAAAACACACTTTCTTACAACATATAGACTACATTAATCGTTGTCTAAATGGTGAACAGGATAACAGTGAATATATTTTTTAAAAGCAGTGTAAAGAAAACTTAAGAAACTAATATAATGGATAGGGAAAAAATGGAAATATTACAATATTTGCAAACAATTAATATATTAAAAAGTGTCAAAGGTAATTTGTCCACCTGCATGAAAGGCCCTAGGGCATCCATTGCAAAGAAGCAAATCTCCTCCATCTCCACACACTGCACACATATCATCACTATCTCCAGTGGTAAGGTTTTGACCATTTGCCAAAGAGAGAGCTATATCATGAAGTGTTAATCCATTGGAGGTATATATGTGCCGGTAACTGCAAAAGGACAAAAACATATTTAAAGATGAAGAAAAATAGACCAGTCTGTTCAGGTGATCTAAAATTCTACTCACGGTTGACGTCTAGCAGCCATTCCAGCATGGGCTTCAAACTGTGAAGGGCTTATCTGTTTAAATATGAATGTAGTTAGTAAAGGTTAATCTTAGCATTTAAATTTATATAAAAACGTAGTTTTGTGCCTGTAGTTACATGATCATACCTCTATGTCACAGCAAGCACAGACTATACCATTTCCCTGCTTGTAACCTCCAAGTAATTTCTGAAATGCACATAAGATTAAGATAAGTCATATATTGAAAAGAATAAAAACCAAGTGCAAATCAACCCATTAAACACAAAAATATTGAAAGAAAAATTTAAGGCACCTGTCCTTTGACATAGTAAGCCAACTCAGCACCATCTGGTAGTCCATTTGGCATAAAAAGTAACCTGTGTAAATCGTTGTCCCTGATAAAAGCAAAAATTCAAATTCAAACCACAATACCTAAGATATTGCAATTCACATTGGGAAGCTAGAGAGGACAGAGGAATTACAGAACAAGCATCCCCAATAAAAAAATTAAAAAATAAAAAATAAAACGAAAAAGGTACCTTCTCTTAGTGCAACCATCAGAACTTTTCTTCAGCAGTACACCTGAGTTAGAAGTGCAGGAGCTTGGCCTGCAGAAAAGATGTATAGTGAATATACAAAAAGGAAAGGTCTACAATTTAATTGACCAGATAACCTTATATGTATGCAGACTGCTCAAGCACATGCCCAACAATCAAGTATCAGGTGTTAGAAATTAAACCAAGAGAGACCAGAGCACAAACTTCTTCACCACACGTTTCCACTCATCAGTTGTCTGCTTCACATACATTGACTGCTCAAAATGACTTGGCACATGCAAAGACGACAAGTGACTCTCACTTTCTCCAGATTGACTGGAACAGCAAAATTGTGAAAAGCCTTGTCAGCCCTTTTTTCTTTTAGAAGTCAACCAAACTTTGTTAACATAATGACAACAAATTTGAAAATATTAACATTTGTCAGACATGTAAATAAAATTCAATTAGAATTTTCTAAAAGGCCAAAAAAAGGGGAAAAAGTTAAGTTGTCGGCACTTGTGGATAAAATCATAGCAAAACCCTGGTGAAAATTGAATTGTTTTCTTTAATAAAACCCATAATAATTACGAAATAGCTGATTGAGTCCAATTCAACAAACACCAAGTACCAAATCCTGAAAGCACTGGCTCACTAAAAACACCAGCATTGATTAAGTAAACAAATTATACCAAATACTGAAAGAACTGGCTGACTAAAAACATCAGGATTTAATTATGTAAACAAATTATTTTATTCTGGAAGTCATTATTAATAAGGCTTTATTCTCAAAGCACAAGCAAATGCACTCGTTCACATGCTTGAGTGAAGTAAGCTCAAGGCTTCACAGAAACAAAGCCTGAGATGTTATTCTTGCCAAAGAGGATCCATTGAACAAAACAATCACTTATTATGGTTAAAGATCAATGTATTGACATCTGACAGCAAGTTTCTTTTACAATTTAAAAAAAAAAAGAAAAAAAAATTATAACAAGAACTACTTCTGGTGGGGGGGAAATGCAGATATGTCCTGTTCACTATATAATTCCTTGATTGAAAAGGTTGCTAATATCCAAATGAACTAAACAAGCTCAAAAGGCAAGGGCTAGATAATGCACAATTTTTTACTTTTGGGTTTATGTTTGGTTTACCTTATGTTTGTATGAGGTATGCCAATAACCTTGGTGGTATAATTTTTATAAGCCTGAGCCCTCCCGTTGCTTTGTAGAAGACTTTCTGCAGAATTCACGGAAAGGGAAAAAATTAAGAAAAATCAAAACCTAAAGCAAAGGAAAAGAAACACCTCTCCCGATTTGCTATAAAAAATGGGCATCCATATGCTTAATGTGTCTTCCTTGATGTACCAAACAACATGCATTATTCTATATTTTATATCTCTATTCCTTCCCGGATGCCTTGTAATGATAATTGTTAGATATAAAACCATTCATAATCCTTACCAAGCTTTTGGGAAAGTTGGTGATTAACAATAATATTCTCCTACAGGATAAGATCATATATCATGGTCAACTCTATCAAGATAGAGGAGGAAAAGAATTCTCAATGTTTGCAATTTTGCGTCTACTATCTAGGATGAATCATTCATGCAAAGGTAAAAAGGATGTTGTCTCCAATACAAGCTAAAGCTGACGAATAAAAGAGAGACTGCTTTTTAAATGATTGAAAACATAACTCCAATTCTCCATGATAAGCTTTATAATACTTTCATAAACCTCATTATACTCAATATCACAGAATGTGGGCTATTAAAAATAAAGATGGCGAGAAGGTAACAAAATAAAATATTGAAGACGGCCAACTGATACTTTTTATCTTAAAATAAAAAGATGCTAGAAACTTGAGTCTAAGGTAAGGGTAGATTCACCGCAGATGGAATGTGTGGATAATATCAAAAAGACTAAAGATAACTTGGGCGGGGAAGGATACAGCAGTAAAAACATTGAAGAAAAGCACAACGGTAGATACAAAAGAAAGGCAATACAGAATCCCTACAGAGAACAACAATTGGTTCTGATTTGATATTCAGACAGCTCAACACAAGAGTTTCCAATCAAGACTTCTTGCCAATGTTAATATAGCCTTTTGAGACTGTACCAATAACTTTCCAACCAAAAATTTAAACCACAAAGAAAAATAGCTCATTTTCCAACCACACATGTCCACATTTGATCAACGTGAGCCTAGGCTCCTACAACGCAATTATAAACCTGAGAAATAATCATCACCTTTCCAAACCTGGAAGGACTCTTCGTTGACAGATGAACCAGCCACATTCTTTATAACCTCATCTAGTAAGCTGAGTGGAGCAGTTTTTATTTCCTGTATAATACTATATATTGGTCTTCCATTTTCTAGGAATATATGATTATTTGGATGTCTAGTCTTGGCACCAGCATGCTGCTCGAACTCATACGCACTAAGCACCTGAGAAAATGACTAAATGAGCTATCTTGTAAATACAGAATAAAAATTCCAATCATAGCGAGAAATAAAGCGCATATGTTACTCTGGAGTAATTGCACACTGAACAGCCACACAAATATCCGCCGCCAGCAATAACCCCAGGTAGCTCCACCTGACAACAACTTCAGAACATAAGAAAAAAAACCCAGCATAAGTACATAAAAAAGACAATGAACGGATGCGCTTTACCTTTCCAGGGTTGTAAATATATTTCACGATAGCTCCGTCAAGGATACCAGTTGATAACAGTTTTTTGACATTTGTAGGGTAGTAGTTGGGGACTACTTTCTTTGACATTTTCAATTCCATATTGCGAGCGTACAAACCACACGAGCTCTCCAACATCCCACTATTGCAATCATCCTTTGCCAAATATTCTTCATCATCGCCATGAAAGCCATAGTTGTTTGGAGCACGCGGTTGATAACCATAGTCCTCCTTCTTTTTACTGAACTTAAAAGTGATCTTTCTGATACCAGACGAACTAGCATGCTTGGGAATTTCAAGCACAACACGGGACGTCATTGCGGCGCTACTTGTGTCCTTATCATTCTGACAAGTATTATTATTATTACTATTATTATTCTGAACACCGGCTTCATCACTCAAGGTCTCATCAGAACTTGAATTCTCCAAACAAGTAGACGTTAGTTCTCCACACTCTGTTTGGTTAACATTCGCGGATTCAGTCGGTTGGCTACTGATATCTTGAAAAGTTAGCGCATGTTCTGTTGCAGAAACGTTGGGGTTGGAAACCTCAGAGCGCACTTCATCGTTCGAAACTTCTTTTGCTTGTTTCTTATTCGGGAACAGGTCAGGCTCAGTATCAGCAACGCATGGGTGGTAGTCCCGCTTCAGTTCCGTCCTTGATTCTTCATTGTTTTCCCTCCTTCCATCTTCCAATGTTTGCATACAAGCCGCTTCTTCTCCCATCAAAATCAGAGAACAGAGACTCTGCGAATCCAAACGTGGTAACCACCAGGTAATCCAGACTACCACACAGCATTCACGAAGAAACTGGTGTCCGACTTGAATTTTCGTCCGAATTCACTCGAGATTCGTGTCAAATCAACGCCCTGAGCATAAAATGAAAAATTAGAAACGCAGTTTTAAAGCTTTTGATCAATTTGAAAGCTATGCACACTGGAAAACACTAAAATAGAAACGAAAACAACAACAACGGTCAACAATCCAATCTACGCGTCCAGAAGAAGTTCCGAAATGCGCGTTTGAATCAATAATAACCGCTCAACCGTTTAATTCAATCAGTTTGCAGAGACAAAAATAAGAAGAACAATAACAACACAGTAACAAACCTACCTCAAACCATACACCAATAAAAAAATCCAAGAAAGAAAAATCAAATCAAAAGAAGAACCTTGAATCCCTAAAAAATAAAAGAAAATTCAAACACCAGCTCCAAGCCTCCAACCGCTTTAAATCGAGTTTCTAAATTAACAGATCTGAGATTGGTGAATAGCACTGAGCTCTGCACCTTACGAGATTCGAAAGAGAGAAGTGAGATTTGAAAGAGCTAGGGTTTGGTTTGCACGTATGGAACGAAAGATAAGAGAGCGGCAACAAACTGAAGCGAAAAGCTTGGTTCGCGGTTGAGATTTCAACTTTTTGGAAAGCAGAGAGAGTAGAAGGCGATGAGTTTAGTAAAAATGAAACTGTCCAAAATAAATAATAAATAAATAAAAAACAAAATAATAAAAATTGTCGTCACGACTCACGATCTTTTAGAAGGGACGAGAAGACAAATGGATAAACGTGATGGGACCCAATGGAAGTTGGGCCTGTTATGTTTCACAACGTGGCAAGACTGGGATCTAACGGCAGTCCCTCCGCAGCCGTTTTTTCATGAAGTGCTGCTCAAGTTAACACGTGTAAGGAAAGGATTATAAGCAAAGAAAGTATTCTGTTAATTCGAATCGGGTAGTGGAGTGTGGATTGCGTAACTTCCAATTTTCGGGCTGGGTAAATGTCGCACCAGGCCCAAATTAGTCAAGAGAATTTTCATAAAATGTTTTCCAAAGGATTTGTTTTAGAGAAAAGCGTTTGTGTTGTGTCATCTTAAAAAAAAATTAAAAGACCATGTTTAGATATATATTGATTCAATTTTATATTTTCTTTCTTTCACAAAAATAGAAAATAGAAAATGTAAAAAAGGAATAAGTTATTTTATCTCTCATTTTCTCTGCTTACCTTTGTTTGTCACCCTCCAATACCATTAGATCAGAATCTCAAGAAGAGAGAAAAAGATAAATGTTAATTAAGACTCTGATCTAATAATATTTTAGAGTGGTAGGCAAAGATAGGCAGAAAAAAAAAGATAGGTAGTGTAACATCCCGGGCGCTGACGAGGGCGGGGAGTGATTGCCGGTGCGCAAGGGCATGGACAAGGAGCGGCTTCTGGCAGGCTTCTAGGGACGGGGGTACATGAATGAATCGAATCAACACCCGAAAGAGAGGGATTCCAGAGACTGTGCTGGTATGGGACGGTACAGTTGGGAATGACTTATAAGAATTAATTGGTACTACCTATACAACAAGATGCATCTACTTTTCGGTAGCCCGGATCGGAAGAACTCCACAGTTAAGCGTGCTTGACTTGGAGCAATTCAGGGATGGGTGACCTCCTGGGAAGTTTTCCCGGGAAGTGTGCGAGTGAGGACAAAGCACGCTGAAAAGTCTCGTGTTAGTGAGTGGGGACAGTCGTTGATCCTTGCAAGTTGCTAGGCGTTACAGGTAGAATAACCGGTACAAAATTAATAAATCTTATATTATAAAGGAATTCCATTCTGTGGAAACCTTGCTGACGTGTCGCACTGTGGTTCAATTTCACCAATGTGTTCACACTACAACACTTAAAAAAGTTTCCTTTAATAGTAAATCAGTGAATACAATAAATACAAAAAAGAATTATATTTTCAATTGACAGGATTTGTTACTTTAAATCAATTGTCAAGATTGTTTATTCATTGATTTATAACTACTAAATCACTCTTTGTCGTCATCTTTGTTTTTTAAATAATTGATGTTGATCATGTAATCTAATCGTTTTTTTTAACCTTTATTCAATTTAATTCAAATCTTTATGTTTTTTGAAAAAAAAAAAACAGGATATTCATTGTTATTAAAACAAATGACTGTTTTCTTCCATGAAATGACTGTTAAAAAACGAGATATTCATTTATTTATAACTACTTAATCACTCTTTGTCGTTATCTTTGTTTTTAAATCTTTATTCAGTTTAATTCAAAAACTTCACATTTTTTAAAGAATACAATTCTATTTACTCGAAAAAAATTAATTAGTAAAAAAAAATAATTATACATATCCCGACCTTTGTTCCTTATTTTCAGATTTTTAAATTTGAATCTTTTATTAACCTCTTGATTCAGTGGAATCAGGTATGAGTGTTTTGTTATTAGAAAAAACTTCTGTTTTATTCCATGAAAATCTCATTTATAACTACTAAATCACTCTTTTGTCGTCATCTTTGTTTTTTAAATAATTGATGTTGATCATGTAATCTAATCGTTTTTTTTAACCTTTATTCAGTTTAATTCAAATCTTTACGTTTTTTGAAAAAAAAAGGGATATTCATTGTCTATGTAGCACCGACTCGACACGCGACACGTGACACGACACGACACGACACTCCGACACGTCAATCTTAAAAAAATATGAATTTCGACACGTTCCGACACGTTTTAATATTAAATAATATTTTTAATTTATATAGTGTATATTTCATTTAATATTCAATAATTTAACAAAAAAAATAAAACTAAACTAATAATATCCATCAATTTAACCAAAAAACAATCATTTCCACAGTACCATTATATTGATCTAAAGCAAAAATAATAGCATATCCATACAAAAACATAAAACATGGAGACTATAGAATATCTTCATGGAACATTTTCATCTAGAATAACATTTGACTCCATCTCTGGCTCATCAAGTGAAAGAGTAGCAACTTCAAGAATTCCAACATCTTCAAATGTATCAAATGTATCTCCAGCAATGTCCCACATTCTATTATCCCCTTGTGTATATTGTGAAGTCTTTCTTGATAAGAGCCTAAGGTTGCCATGTATATAAACCAAGTCTTCAGCACGTTTTGGAGTCATCTTATTCCTTCTTACAGAATGCACAAAAGAATAAGTACTCCAATTGCGTTCAGCACATGATGAAGAAGAAGGTTGTGCAACAAGTCGCAATGCTATCTTTTGAAGCATAGGTGAACAAGCACCATGAAGCACCCACCAAGCTTTGGGCTCCATAGAATATCGATTTTGCATGGCATCATAATCTCTAAAACCTCCACTCATACTAGCAAAGTCCACATACTCCAAATTTATTTTATTTCGGTCCTCCAAGTTAGAAAAGTATCTCTTTAAGCATTTTTGTCTTTCTTGATTAATCTCTAAATCCTGGTGTGGAGGAACTCGACTAGGATCTTCATTAAGTCATTGTTCACTATAGTATCTAAAAGAAAAAAGAGAAAAACAATTAAACAAATTATATCAAATAAGAGAAGTATTCAATTCATTCATAATTAAAAGCTTACTTGGGATTCAAAGCATGTGCCAAAGAATGAAGTGGAGTTGAATGTTTAGTCCAACGATCCACAAGAATGCCATGCACCACCTCATAAAAAGTTGAGGTCTCGTCCATCCTCTTCAATTCATGAAAGTATATAGCTTTCTTCACTTTTACAATCATGTCATCCCACATATCATAAATCAAATGAAGACAAGGTTTATCAGTGTCACAAATCCTAATCATATTATAAATAGGAGCAGTGAAAGCAAGTATATAATCAATTGAATCCCACCAAAGATCATCCAAAATCTTATCTTTAACCATTCTTGCCCGTCCTAGATTATCATCTTTATACAAACTCCATTTTTCGCTGATTACCATATTTTGGAGACCATATTTTATCAATTTGAACCTCTTTAGCATCACAATCATGGAAGCAAAGCGGGTTTCAGCTATAGAAAGCAACTTCAATCCCACAAACTCATTAAACATTGACAGTCTCATAGAATGATTCATTATGAAGTGCTTTATTGCAGAAACATCTCCAACAATATCAGAAATCCAACTACATTCCTCATATGCTATTTGATTATTCTCCACATTTTTTGCAGCACAAATATTTTTCACAGCTAAATTCAGTGTGTGAACAACACATGGTGTCCAAGTAATAGATGGAAATTCTTGCTCAATAAGATGCCCTGCTCCCTTACAATTTGCAGCATTATCCGTGATTACTTGAACCACTTTTTCATGCCCAACTTCTTGAATTACTTCTTTTAACAACATCCTAATAAAATGCCTATCCTTAGTCTCTCCTGAACAATCAACTGATTTCAAAAACATAGCTTCACCATCAGATACTGCCATGAAATTAATAAGTGGCCTCCTTTGTGAATCACTCCATCCATCACTCACAATACTAACACCCTTGTTTTTCCACCCAGCTCGAATAGGTGCACACAACCTATCAATATTTTCCTTCTCTTTCTGCAAAAGAGTGGTTCACAAGGAGTTATATCCTGGTGGCAAATAACCCCCAATATTATTATCTGCAGCAAAAGTGAAGGCTGCTTGAAAGTATGGGTTCCTTGCTAAAGTGAATGGCAATCCTGCTGAATAAAACATCCTAGCAATCAAGTGGTTCAATTCTTCTCGTGCCCCAACATTGAATGCCCTCTCAATAGGATTTCTAGATGAACTTCCACCCTCACTTCCACTTCTTCTTCTTTTCGAGTTTGATTCTACGGAAAAACTAGAGGGTAAAGGCACGTTTTTAGGTGCATTACTCTTCAATCTCTCACTAGTTTCTTGTTCTAATTTCTCCATCTCTAGCAAGTCTTTTGTCTCCACAACTAAACATCTTGCAATTCCTTTCCCTGCTATTTTAAGCAAATGAGCCCTTATTCTAGTATACGAACTTTTAAAATCCTTTTCACAAAAATTGCATTTCCAAGATAGATTCCCTCCTGCTTCCGTTGTGGTGCCTACTTTGGTAACATATTTCCATAATGGCTTCCTTAGAAATTCATCATCTCCACTACTTGCAATACTTGAATACATTCTAAAAAATATAAAATTAAACACTATGAACAAAATAATTACTTATGCTAATATAGAACAATTAAATTAAAATAGTAGCATAAAAAATAAGGCAAATAACATATGCTTTGAGTTCTGTGAGCTCGTGTCTGTAAATTTAGAAAAAACATATGCTTTGACATAAGGAAGGAGAGTGGACCATAACGAAGAGATTCTAGAAATACTTGAAACAGAACATTACAAATTGTATCAGATTGAACCCCGAGACAGTAACAATCAGGAGCCAACAATGAAGAGCAGAAAGCAAATGCTCACAATCAGGAGGCCTGAGTTTTTTTTTAACACTATCATGCTCTCATTAGTAGGAACAAAACCGCAACTAGCAAAAGTGGAAACTATGGTAAATAAAGAAAATGTTTGTATTTTGATCCCTTTGTTTTAATAGAAAATTTCACACTAAGAAAAGAATAGAAAAGAATAGTAATATACCTTCTAGTTTTCTTCTTCTGCTTGTACCGTAATAATGCAGAATCTCTTTCTTGACTCGTTAACTCACATGGAGCAGCTTT